AATGCAGTTCTTTAACCTTAGTGGATAATTTTATAAGATAGGAAACAAAAGATATACCTGGCACAATTACACGTGATGCAAAGTTCAAATGGCCTAATAGTTGAAGTAATTCTTTTTTCGTCACATGTTGACTTTTGAATTATGGAAATTATAAATTTGCAGATTCTTCTATACTTTGTTTGCAGGCAATCTAGCCTCTAATCTATCTGTATCCAACACAATACCAAGGTATCCAATGCATGTTAGTGGGCCCATGGTTTTGTTTGCCGCAAATGGAACATTTAATCGATTGAATATCATGGTCATTAATTAACGCCATTGTTCTTTCAGCACCGAACTCTGGAGGGTAAATAGTAAGGAAGTCATTGAGTAAATGTAAAATATGTTTTACTTTGTAATTATGTTCTGCTATAAAACAAATCGATGTGGAGATATTGTCAAATATTTTAGGGCTACTACGGCATCCGAATGACAATCGCACTTAAATATAATAAAAAGATTCTCATTTAAAACAAAATAATGGCCATTGCTTCGGTGACACTGGACATATTTTAAATGCATTTTGAATGTCGAACTTACAGAGTTTTGTCCCCTTTCCGTATTTGGCAATGAGACGAATTGCGTCATCTATCTTGACATACGACATAACATAAATCTTTGTCTATAAGCTCGTTGACGCTAACGTTTTTATCGTTGTGCGCTGCGGACAAGTCTAAAATAAGTCGCTTTTTGTAAGAATATTTACCCTCAGCAACACCCAACGGACTTATTCGATAATCATCAAAAGGTAAATGATCAAACGGACCAAATACGAAACCGTTACATAGTTCTTTTTAATAAGATCTGAAACTGTATCTTTCTGTGACCTAGCACTTAAAGTATTTCTACATTCCATTGTTTTCATGTTGTCAAATTAAACCATGGTATCAAATCCATATTTGTAACCCATTACACAAATAATCAACAAAGTGTTTGTCGGGATGACTCATTAGTTCACGTTTTAGCTTGATATTGACAGGGGTAGTAGCGTGCATATCAAATTCAGTTAGTCACATTTTGCGAGATGTCTCTGGAGTTTCCTTGTCGACCGGAGCTGTCTGATTGAATGAAAACGTTGCTGATGGGTGTTTCCCACAAAGAGACTGTGAATGTCCTAGCGAACGGCATTTGGTGCAAACATGTGAGAACGAACAGGTGCGTTTCGTACAACTTCTATAGCTATTAAAATTGTTACAAATCTCTTTACCGTCTTGAAAATATTTTAGTCGGCCATACTTACGATCATCATTTCTCAAGCAATTAACTTCTTGGTGATTTATTTTGTTTTTCAGCTGCAGTGAACAAAATTCGGTAGTGTGATCGCACATGTGGCATAATTTACATACATTGATTTGAATCCGCTACGAGGGCGAATAATTCACGATCACGTTTACTCCAGTCTACTTTAACTTGATGTTCTCTAAGTAGTGTTGACGCTTTGGCGGAAAACATTTTATGATAGTCGTAATATTTAGAGCCGTCAAAATTGCTTATGTCAATAATATCTTCTTCATAGGCATCTTATTCGGCGCGTCTTTCTGGGTAGGCTTTTGGCATAATTGTTTTGTATTTGCCGAACGCTTTGATAAATTCCTGAATGGTCAGTGTACGGTTTAATCTGATGTCGGTTTTCCCTGGGAGATAAATCTCAATGCTGTCAGCGATTACGGTATGCGATTGTGGGCATTCATAGTTTGGAATAAATAAGGCAGTAATATTAACATCCTAACCGTCAATTATCTGTCGCTGCAGAGATGAAGACACAATATCAATGTTGTTGAAATCGCCTGATCTGGCTCCCTTGTTGATATCTACGGGTACACAATTTTCCTGTATTCCGGAATAAGGAACAGAAAGTTTTCGACCGTATTAGACTGATTGTACCAATTTTGAAGTGTAAATCCGTCTTTGTGTTTTGCTGTTTCTCTCCAGGATTCCTCAAAAGAAGTTGGGTAAAAGTACTTTGTAGACCCGTAAAGCATTGGGACATAGAAACGAACGCGTTACACATGTAATTTATCTGAATAGCCTCCGGTTCTGGGTTGATGACTGGGCGTTGCTCGGGGGGTGTGGAGGGGGGGTTGGATTTCGATATCCGGATCTACTACTGTTTCATTTTCAATTACGGCTACCTCCTTTTTTATGGATAAATGTTACTGTTGAATAGTTGTAAGAGAATATGTTTAACCAGATCGGCAGGAACTTCTATATCAATCCCCTTTAATTCCGGAATAAGTTTTGTCTTACTCAACGTGGATGGGTCCGCGTTAGCGTCTACAGACGGACGTTCGTAAGGAACTTTCCTTTTTGTTTGTCTCTTCGACTTTCTGGTAGCCATAATGTCAATAAAAGAGAATTGATTATAAAGTTAAAAAAGAAGACCACTCACGTGTGAAATAAGAATACGAATATCCAAGTTTACCGTAGGCTTAAATCCAAGGAAGGAAATTACATCATAGCTTACACAATTTAAGTTCATGTTGCTTGTTACAGTCTAGATGACAGACTAATACATAAAATCTCTCAATCGTAGAATAAAAGAACAGAAGTACACAGTACTGGTATATGTTATGGTATAGCACAAAAACAAAGACTTGCTTCACAATATAAAATAGCGTCCTTCTTTCCAAACAGAATTAGCAAAACTGAGTTCTTGCCACGTGTATCTCTTCTAAATAAGGAACAACCGATAAGAGTCGCACATGCAGACACGAGCTTCTTTACACGAATAAACCATGCCTAAATTATATGTAAGCTTACATTAATACATTCACATGATAACTTTGCAGGATTTTTACAACACTCATTGTACAAGACAAATTTTCGTCACTTTTTTTTGTCTTTAATGAAAGGGAATAATCAGGTATGCGATTGATTGAGGTAACATGTATACTGATGCATACCTGATTATTCCCATTGAGGTAACATGTATACTGATGCATACTTGATTATTCCCATTGAGGTAACATGTATACTGATGCATACCTGATTATTCCCATTGATGTAACATGTACACTGATGCATACCTGATTATTCCTATTGAGGTAACATGTATACTGATGCATACCTGATTATTCCCATTGATGTAACATGTACACTGATGCATACCTGATTATTCCCATTGAGGTAACATGTATACTGATGCATACCTGATTATTCCCATTGAGGTAACATGTACACTGATGCATATCTGATTATTGATTGAGGTAACATGTTTACTGGTGCATACCTAATTATTCCCATTCATTAAAGACAAAAAAAAAAGTGACGAAAATTTTTCTTGTACAATGAGTGTTGTAAAATTTCAAAAACTCGACAAATATGAAGTGGCTGGATGGATGATGTAAAAATTGCTTTCTCGCTTCAACTCAACATTATGTAGCTGTATACCAAATATTAAACCATTCCCTCAATAGGAGCCAAGAAAAGTTTGACGAAAATATTCCTTGTACAATGAGTGATGTCAATTCAAACAATCCGCAAACAGTTATTCCTCTAAATCTTTCGAACAGAGAATGCATCTTACCACGCTTCAGTGCTGTGTGTATAATCCGCATTACAACTTTTCAGGAATAAAAGAGAGTTCAATTATGGCATTGAGCAATGCTTTTAAGGATAATATTAAAGATTTTGATGCATATTTCAAATGTTCAGCTGAGATGCCAAATTAGTCAGCAACTTTATTATTATCAAGACTGTTAATTGCAACTTTAAACTCATTTTCAGAAATTTCAGTTAAAAGCTCATCGTAGTTTTGTATAAATTGAAGTATTGCCTCCAAGGCAACACGGACTCTGGTAGCATATTCATTATCAAATGTTTTTGTTAATGTTCAGCTAAATCTTTCAAACTTTGCAAACTCAGCCCTTTAACAAAACAATTTGATTAACAAAAGGTGTTTTGGGGATGGGGCTTTTCTCGCCCTTTATTTTATACCACTAAGTTGTATTTCTGGTAGTTTTTGCAGGTTGTCTTTTCTGCTTTCACTAAAGAGAAAGTTCTTTCTGTCTCTAATGTCTGGCCACATATTGAAGCTTTTACTGATGTCGGCGTAAAATTCAGGGTGTCTTTTCTTTTTGACGTCTTTATATGCCTGTAATGTATCTGGGTACATCAGGACATACATGTCTTTTCCCTTCAACTTCAGTATGTACGTATTTTGTGGATGGTCGAACGAGATCTTTTCTACCTCATGGCTTTTTTCGCTGTACCATTTTCTTCTTTATACTGTAGGCACTCCGTGTCCATGTATAGATCTTTTCTCATTGCTTTTTTCTTATAATATTGTGAATAAGATTTACGTGGTCCGTAATTTTGAGCCGTTGAATCAAGATTTGAATGGTATTTGAAGTTGTAGATTTTCTTGATAGGATAGTTTATCAGACTTTTCCCAGAGAGTTCTAAACATTTGATTGACCTTAATCATTATCATATTTGATAAAATTGATAGGTGTTTTGATTATTGACTGTATAGGTACATGAAACGAACAACAGGATAACCAAAAATATTTGCAGCACAACAAACCATATCAAACAAAAAACAACAAACACCGAAAAAATGGCGTACAAACACAGACAACGAGCAACATATTGTCCAGACAGCCGAACTTGGTACAAGCACAAATTGGGGATGGGCTAAACCCGTCTTACGTATAAGTACAAACCTCTCTCAATGCCTATTTAAGCCATATGTCGTCAACGTAAACACTTACTATTAATACAAAACCTGTATAGTGCAGCTACTAACAGGATGCCCACTATCTTGAAAAAGAAAATAAAATGGTCAAAAAACGTTCACTACTACAGAAAGCTAGCTAAGATAGGTTGGTTGAATACTATCACTCAAGAAAATATAAAAAGATAAAAGACAACAGGTTTCAGGAAGTTTCATCAAAAAATGTATTGAAATCTGTAGTTTCTTTTAGAGACACGTAAGTACTTAAAATCTCCAAACCATCAATTTAAGTGAAGCAGTTAGTATATCACGCCTGTAACACTTTCTGTTTTCTGTCTTTCTTTTCTAGAGGTAAATACACCATTTTTCAATATTTTATTTCTGTTTACGACATTTCATTATTATTTCTGTTTTCATTTTATTTATTTTATTCTTAACCAACAACTGGAGATTCTTTGTTGATACACAGTCCTTGTGTACAAATAAAAGGTCCTTGATAATTCCCTATACCAACACATGTACAAGTGTTGCATCCGTCATCTGCCTCCCACAATGCTTTGAACTTGTACCATCTTCCATTGTCGTTACACTCTCCGTAGAGTGGTTCATCACTTGGTTTAGCTGGGTAAGATATAAAGGTATAGACCTATTCACTTGTTTTCAACTTACATTTTATCTTTATTCAGTAGTAGAAATAGATTATTTCAGATGTTAGATTAATCAATGGAAAATTGTGAATTTCATCCCTTTTACTTCATTTGTCGAAACAGGGATGCAACCACGAGACCAACAAGGTCGTCTCAGTTTTTATAGGCTGTTCTTATGTTGTACTGTTACACCACTGTCCCAGGTTAGGTGGAGGGTTTGGCGCCAACAAACTAGTTTCACCCCACCACATTCTGTATGTGCCTGTCCCAAGTCAGGAGCCTGTAATTTAGTGGTTGTCGTTTGTTACTGTATCTTATTTACTTTTCGTTCATTGGCGGTATGGGCTTTGCTCATTGTTTGAGGCCGTACGGTGGCCTATAGTTGTAAACTCCATGTCATTTGGTCTCTAGAGGAGAGTTGTCTCATTTGCAATCATACCACATCTTATTATTTTTATATCAGAGTATGAAATTTAGTTCCTAGTATACAACTGCACGGAAAATCGTTATCGTACGGTTTTAGTAATAAAAAAACAATTTACACAACAAAACATTGATTTCAAATAAAACGCTTCATCTATCCTAATATAAGCATACCCATACCATCAGCGTAAAAGTTTCAAGAAACTTACCAAATCCAGTATTATCACAAGTGACCTTTGTACAAAGAGCACCACGTGTTGTACAGAGACAAGAGTTACATCCATCTGCTGTTGTTATGTTTTCGTGTACTAAATACATCTTAGGTCTCATATTGTAACCATACATGCAAACAAAGTCGCCGTTGTGGAGTGTTTTTCCTTTAAAACACGTTATGTTTTTTGTGTTTTTTATACATGGCATAGAAAATATGTTGAGGTATAGACTAGAAACAACATTGAGATGTTATGTTCATGTATAGCAGGAGGTTTTTATGCTGTTTTGACATCACAAAATTTTCATTTAAAAAAGTATCCATTTAGATAAAGGTTATTTGCTTCATTTTAAAATCTTTCATAAGTTCCTAGTTATTATATTTTTCCATTGGTAATAATTGTATATCGCAGGCTTGAATTTTAAGAAAATAAAAACAGTATTGTTTAAGAAACAGAAATGGTCAGTACTGGACACATACAAAAGAAATTTGATGGACCAGCTCTATGTTGAGTGCATACAGCATGCAAAGGTGTTGGTTTGGGTTGTTGTTGTTGTTTTTTGTTTTTTGATATTTTTTGTTTTTTTTTTTTGGGGGGGGGGGGGGTTCTTGGGGGGGTTAAAACTGAAAAGTACTAGTTAAGAAAAATATGTTTGAATGATAATTTATCATCAACGTGGCCACTGCACTTAGGAGACTTAAATATTTACCTGTGGTGTCGCATACTCCGGTTTTTTGAATGGGTAACTTAATATGTACGTGATATTCATTTACAAAACAGACATGACATCCATCAGAACACACTTGTCCCACGCTTGGTGCTGACTGAGTATAGGCATTTCCATTATACGGAAGTACTAAAACTAGAAGCAGATAAAATAATAAGAACATATCAAAAGTTGGAAGAAGGATTGGTGACGGCAATAAGAAGTTTTAAGCGGGACAAACAACATCTTGGCCAAAGTAAAAGAGAAGAAAGGGCATAACTTCCGTCGGAATACAAGAAAAGCTTGTTTTGTGAAAAAGCCATTACCAACCATAGGTACTTGGAGACAGGATAATTGTTTTAGCCCTCACCCCTTTTTTCCAAAATCCGATATTTTTTTTGTTTTTTTTATTAATTTCAATTATTTTCGCGTTTTTCTGTATTATATAAATATAAATATTTTAAAAATAACTTGTTTTTGATATTTTCTATAAATTCCAAGTTTACTATCACAGAGGACACTGTATAGAGACAGACATCATTATTTGCCCATAAATAGGATACTTAATAGAGACAGACATCATTGATATTGCTCATAAGTAGGACACTGTATAGAGGCATGCATCATCGATATTGCCCATAAATAGAATATTTTGTAAAGACAGATTTGCTGTCGTCATTAATGCTTCACAAAAGTTTTTGTATCATATCCAGGGACAGCCATGATGTGTATTATGTAGATGTTATGTCTGATTAAGCAAACTGTATGTGTCTCAGGTACTTTTATGACGATTTTTTTTAACTTTTTGAACCAATACTGGAATTTAACTTTACTTGCCAATTTCTGATTGGAAGATTTACAGTTGTAGTTGGTCATTATTGAGTATATTTTAAGTCATTTATGTGTCTCATCATATATACTATCATAATAAGCATAACTCCATATCATATTCATTTTATGGTTTTTAATATATTTAAACAGTGCAATGTCTAAGTATTCGTGTTATGCTGTTTACTGAAATGTTCTTGTTAAGCTTTTTTCAACTGATTTTTATATGTTTGTTCATTCGCAGGTCAGTGGGAGTATTGAGCACCCGCAAGCATGTTTAACTCGCCACTTGTATGTCCCTGTCCCAAGTTAGAAGCCTTTAATTCATTGTTTGTCGTTTGTTGCTGTATATCATATTTGTCGATCGGTCTATACATAAATCAGACCGTTTATAGTTTTCTCGTTTGAATCTGTTATGTCGACGGTGTCTTTGATAGAATAGAGAATGGAAACGGGAAATATGCCAAAGAGACAACAACCCTACCAAAGAGCAGGAAACAGCCAAAGGCCACCAATGGGTCTTCAACGCAGCGAGAAAATTCCGCAATCCGGAGGCGGACCCTAAACAATAATGTATACGAGTTCAGCGAAATGACACCACACTAAACACAGAAACATGCAAATGAAACCGTAACATGCCAAAAACTGGTTTTAGAATAAATGTGTTTATGTCTGATACAAAGACCCTATGAGTGAATCGATATTAATTGCAAAACTGCCATCTTTAATGACTTGACAACAATATCGTAACTATATCTCTTGCGAATAAGTCTGTTTAAAGGTTTGGTTAGCTTTTGAGGTGAATGACGATATTTTTGTACTTTGTATCGAATATTACTATGAAATATGTGATGTGCTATACCTGAACGTATAAGATGTCTGCACGTTGATTAATATTCACGAATGATACATGTAACTTTGAAGCGATGATAAAATTTCGTAAAGGTTTTGAAAAGTTTGTGATATCGAAAACCCTGGTGTAATAATTTTCAGTCATTAATAAAGAGATTTCTTTCGTTAAAATCAAATGCGTTGTTACATATACGAGTGCATCGAACAAGTTGAGATGTATTAACACCATACGATTGGTGCCAAGGGATCGTCACCATCTAAAAACGGATAATTAACAATAGGAAATGAAAAATTATCTCTTTTATCTTAAATTTTAGTATTAAGTTTCCCGTTAGAGATATAGATATCAAGATCCAGGAAAGGGCAGTGTTCATTGTTAGAATTAGCTTTATTTAAAGTAAGTTCAACAGGATAAATCTCTTTTAGTGTACATACTAAAGTCGTCTTTAAGTTTTTGTATCAGATGTTGTTTCGATGGGTCTTTGATGATTTTGAACATAAATTGCGATTCGTAACAATACAGAAACAGGTCCGCAATAAGTTGGGAACAGTAAGTCTCCATTGAAATTGGTTTTCCGTTTGAATTGTTTTACATCTGTCATGTCGACACGGGGAGATGGGGTCTCTTCCTATATAAAGGTATACACAGACGTGCCGCTGGTATGGGTCACTTTTTTGGAATGTCAAATATATCAATGGGTTGCAATTTCACGGAGGTAATATATCAATGGGAAGAAATCAACCGGTCATATATGTTCATCTTCTGTTAAGATGTATGTAAAAACTGTGTTCTGATCTTTTTATCTCCTAATATGAATCACGGAGCCCATTTGGTTAACATCGCATTGAAATGAGGCGTCATGATAGCTGGAAAGTATATATAGATAGGTTGTGATTTTCTTATGAAATATATGAATTGGTAGGGATTTTCGAATAAATCAATATATGAATGAGAGTGTTTCCATACCCAAACCGGACGTCTGTACCCAAATGTTTAGGTTAAGAACCCCTTCCCTTTCCCGGTGCATGTCAGTGTCTTTTAAAGTTTTCTATGCGGTATGGGTTTTGCTCATTAATGAAGGTCGTACGGTGACTTATAATTACTAACTTCTACGTCATTTGGTCTCTGGTGGAAAGTTGTCTCATTAGCAATCATACCATATTTTTATATTGTACCTGTATTTTGCACGAGAAGATTTTGTAAACTCATTTTTAAAAATGTACATTAAGTGTTTATAAGTACCTAAACAATAATTAGAGTATGAAACTTTCATCACGCAGCTCAAGTTATATTGCCACAAACTGTACGTCAGTTTCCAAATAAACCTATCCAATCTTTTGATGTAAATATCGATCAGCTGATAAAAAAAGTATTAATACAATTTGTCTTACCTATTAAAATGTGGAAACATGACTGCGAAGGCGCCATTGTATATCCATAAATGTAAAAATTGTTTACGTCTGTTTACACACAATGTCTTATCTTATTTGTTTACACACAATGTCTTATCTTATTTGTTTACACACAATGTCTTATCATATTTGTTTACACACAATGTCTTATCTTATTTGTTTTTGTTGACTGACTGAAGTATGATTATAATGATTGTTCATTCTAAATTTAATTTTTTTTTTAAATTTACTAATAAAAAGTGAAATATGAAAATAATATGTGGTATGTATGATTAAGAAGAAAGACTATGATGTCTTAAAACCTGCAAATATTGTTGAAAATAATACATCAAGGTGTGCTTCGTAAGGCCTTCTGTGAGTACGGCCGATAATTTCATATCAAACGATATAGTACCGTTGATATAAAAAAAATAAGGAGGTGTGGTATGCTTGCCAATTTGACAACTATCATCTACGAGAGATCAAAGGAATGAAAGGACAAGGGTGTAAACCACCTGAGGGTGGATCCAGGATTTGTGAAGTGGGGACGTAAACTCCGAAAACTGAATATCTATCGAATATATAAAGGCAAAAAAAATTGACGATTTTATCATAAAATATATATATATCATTTTCCAATCACGCGCCACCGTGACTTCATTCCTGAATCCGCCACTGACTATTATAGGTTACCGTACGACCCTCAACAAAGAGCCTGAAAACCGCCATATCGTATAGTAATCTATAAAACATTAAAAGGCCCTGGCATGACAAATTAATTTAATGTGAAACAATACAGCAGAAAAAAATCAACGGCTGACTTATGCTTGAAATAATTTAAAAAAAAAAAAAAAAAAAACAATTGTTCAGAGAACAATTGAAGGTCTTTCCACAAAAAAACATGTATTTTAATATGAAAATAGTAAAATTCGTTTTAAAATGTCATTTCCAGCTTCAAATCAAATATCAGTGTCCGACGTGAATTAAACGTTTGAATAATACCGGAAGTAACATTTTTCAAACCGTAAGTAACAAATTATCTCCCTTATTTAAAAAATATTGAATAGAAACCATATATTTTTGGAATCATTTTAGGCATGTCTTTGAGTCGTTTTTTGGAAATTTTAAAATTTTATAAGCGTCTCTACATATGATGTTCGGTGAAACTGTTTCACTTTTTTTATTGTATAGAATTCAAGATTGCTATAGTTTAATAATCAGAATAGATTGATCTGATTCATTTTACATCGTGCTCATACTGATGAAAGATATCTGTTATCCGAAATATTTATAGTTACATTTGTTCGTTTATTGTCATTTTTTGGTGATGTTGTACCCTTTTAGATTGGTTATATATATATACAACTCGTCTAAACAGCAGCCCAACAATGTTAGATCTGTAAATGTGCTTTCGCTAATTTTTTGTTCTTCCCTCGCAGGGATTCGAACTCATGCTACTGAGATATCGTGACACCAAATCGCCTGCACTGTATCCGACGCGCTAGACCACATGACCACCTAGGCTTCACAATAATAAAGCTTTCGGTGGCCGGGTGTTACCTTTCCTCATATATATATATATATATATATATATATATATATATATATATATATATATACAACTCGTCTAAACATCAGCCCAACAATGTTAGATCTGTAAATTTGCTTTCACAAATTTTTAGTTCTTCCCTCGCCGGGATTCGAACTCATGCTACTGAGATATCGTGACACCAAATCGCCTGCACTGTATCCGACGCGCTAGACCAGTCGACCACCTAGAGGCTTCACAATAATAAAGCTTTCGGTGGCCGGGTGTTACCTTTCCTCGTCAGTTTCAATCTAGCGTCGTAATACAGTACATGGTATATAAGGCATGAAGATGGAATTGTTACAGATCAGCTGAAATATCTATTGTAAAGGATCCTACAAATTAATGCAAGATACAGTCACAGAAATAATTATATTTATAAGTACGTCTGAACCAGTGACAACTCTACAACAGATTTATCCATCGGATCACCAGCAGTGATGGTGATACATGGCTTTGTACATTCTGTATATACAACTCGTCTAAACATCAGCCCAACAATGTTAGATCTGTAAATTTGCTTTCGCAAATTTTTAGTTCTTCCCTCGCCGGGATTCGAACTCATGCTACTGAGATATCGTGACACCATATATATAATAAGTACGTCTGAGCCAAATACTGAGTCAAATACTGCATCTTACATTAATTTGTAGGATCCTTTTGTTCTTCACTCGCCGGGATTCGAACTATTCGGTTACCGAGACAACACCGCCTGCACTGTGTCCAGCGCTCTAGACCACTAGGCCACCTAGACTGAACTAAAAATTCAGCTTTCGATGGCCTAGTGTTACCTTTCCACGTCAGTAGAATCTAGAGTTGTAACACAGTACATGATATATTAGGCATGAAGATGGAATTGATTGCAGATTAGCTAAGTTGTCTGTACTAAAGGATCGTAAGATGCGGTCACAGAAATAATTATTTTGATGAGTACGTCTAAACTGGGAACAGTATATCTAACAATAATTATATATGTTCCTGGTCTAAACAAGTGACAGCTCTAGGACAGATCCATCCATTGGATCACCAGTGAAGGTGATACACGGCTGAAAACACATATTATATTCATAATTACTCTAAATATCAGCACAACAATGTTAAATCTGCAAATTTGCGCAAGCAAATATATATAGATATATGAAGATGTGGTATGAGTGCCAATGAGACAACTCTCCATCCAAGTAACAATTTATAAAAGTAAACCATTATAGGTCAAGGTACGGCCTTCAACACGGAGCATTGGCGCACACCGAACAGCAAGCTATAAAGGGCCCCAAAAATTACTAGTGTAAAACCATTCAAACGGGAAAACCAACGGTCTAATTTATATAAAAACAAGAAACGAGAAACACGTATGAACTACATAAACAGACGACAACTACTGTACATCAGATTCCTGACTTAGGACAGGTGCAAACATTTGCAGCGGGATTAAACGTTTTAATGGTACCAAACCTCCCTTTCTGAAACAATAGTATAACATCACAACATAGAAAGACACACTATAAAATATCAATTGGAAGGCTTAACTCAATCAAAAAACGTAAATTAACACACAATGAACGAATAAATTTGATCTGTGATACCTGAATGCAAATACATAGTTAATAAAATATAAGGGATAAATAATTAAGGTCAAAAGTAAATAAACAGGTTTAAACAAAGTTAAAGTATGATACCACCGTGAAATGTTAAACAATTTTTAGAAAATAATCACTTTTGGAAAAACCTGCGTCCTATTATACACAGGTAAATGAAAATAATTTTGTTGTTAAGTATACTTCTTCTTCTGTGTGTATAAAATCTTCCGTTTAGGAATACCAAGAAATTTCTTTAATATCAATAAAACTAATCTAACACTTGGTACATATGGGGTGAATATCAACAATAAAACTATACAATAAGTGCTAGATAAAACTTCCTGTACAGGTGCAAGAACAGTATTTAAGGAGAAATGAAATAATTTTGATGTTAATAGTACGAAGAAGTGAAAATTTGTAGTAATTCCAAATAATCAAAGCTGGTATATAGACAAGATCCATGTTAACAATTAATAACAAAAAAGCATTACAAATAGTATCAACAGGTCAAATTAACAAGAAAGTACGATTTGAGAGTACTTGCAATTACTGACAGCTAGTTAAAAGCCAAAACAATTAATATTAAAAAATCATGCATCAGAGACGAAATCAACTAAGACACATCCCAGGGATTTAGTATTTTAACGTCACGAACAGTCAAAGAAGACATGACTTGTGCAATGCCAAAAATAAATGTATCGACAGGTAGTAGGATAGTTAAGAGTGACTTCTTTATAGATAAAAATGAACGTATGTGTGTCTCTATACATCCCGTTTGAAAAGAAAATACAAATTTAGTTATGTTTTAATTTGCTAATGACAAAATCGATATTAGTGCCAATGTAAACTATATTCAGAGATCTAATTACAATATTGGTACGATAACCCTTACTGATAAGTTTGTTTAAAGGTTCGATGATTTTACACGGATCACATAGTGATTTCCGCGCTTTTAGTACAATATTACCGTAAAATTTAGGATGTGAAATACCATTTTTAATAAGTTTTCTACAGGTTCAGCCAAACTTACTAATCAAATCTTTGTATCTATGAAAGAATTTAGTAAAAGTTTTAAGTAATTTATGGTAACGAAATCCCTGACTTAATAATTTACCAGTGATGCATTGATTACATTCGTTAAAATCTATGACATCACTACACACACGGGCATACCGAACGAGTTGGGATATATAAACACCGTATGATGGAACCAAAGGCACATCGCCGTCTAAAAAAGGAAAATTAACAATAGGGAATGAAAAATCGTCTCTTTTGTCGTAAATTTTAGTATGGTGTTTCCCTTAAGAAATTGAAATGTCTAAATCTAGAAAAGGACAACTGCTGCTGTTTATGTTAGATTTAGTTAAAGTAAGTTCTTTTGGGTAAATTTCGGTAGTATATTCAGAGAACTATGGATTATTTAACGAAAAAATATCATCCAGATAACGGTAGGTATTGTTGAATATATCAACCAAATGTAACAATGATGTGTCTTTACTGAGTTTGGTCATAAACTGAGATTCGTAGCAATACAGGAAAAAATCTGCTATTAAAGGTGCGCAGTTAGTGCCTATAGGAATACCTACTACCTGACGATACACTTTATCGCCGAAACGTACACATATGTTATCTAGGAGAAAATTTAAAGCTTCAATCATATCCTCACATTTCCAGTAAGTGTATCTAGCATACTTTCCTTTTTAGTTACAGAAAAAGGCTTTAAACGAGTTACAGCAAATAAATTTACAATGAGATTTTTCGAAAGACCATTTTATTAAATATGAAAACTTTTTCTTTATTAGATTGTGTAGAAGTGTAGTGTAGAGAGTAGAAAAATCATAACTGTCAACAGAATTAAAAGGACCATGTATTTTATCTAAAACCTCTAAAGAATTTTTAACACTCTAAAAATAATTAATACCATTATTTTCATAAGCTTTATTACAAAAGTTAATAACCAGTTCTTTGATAGTAGTAAAGGATGTAGTAAGAAGCACTGATAGATTAGTAGTAGAACACTTATATAATATATATAAACAAGTCTAAATTGAAAACAACGTTCAAACGATTGCGTTGGATAAAAACCGCAATTTTTATACGTGTGCATGCAAAACAAATTGCTTGGTAGAGGGGTCTAAATACAGCAGAAACAACATTTTCCAAAAGACCAAAAGAGTGAAAAAGTATATTTTAACAAAACGCATTTGACTAACAGGTCGAACAACTGATGTTCTTAAACACTGCTGACTGCCATTGTCGATTGCCAAATAAACGGATCACAAGATGTAACAAAATGAATCTTTAATAATATGAATTTAATACCAAACAGAAAACAATAAACTTGCAGTAAAGATGGTATACCGCAAACAAAAGGTGCAAAAATTAGTACACCATATCCGGATTTCGACATTAATGTCTCTTCAGTGATGTTAGGGATCGAAACAGTATTTGGAAGGCCATAAAATTTACCTCAATTTAGGATAGACTCTTGAATTTTAAAGAGTCGAAATAGGATGAACGGATCATATAAACCCGAAGGAAAATATAATACAAGCCCAAACGAAAAAATATAAACAAGTCTAAATTGAAAACAACGTTCAAACCTATGATTGCGTTGGATAAAAACCGCAATTTTTATACGTGTGCATGCAAAACAAATTTCTTGTTAGAGGGGTCTAAATACAGCACAAACACTGACCATTTTCCAAAAGACCAAAAGAGTGAAAAAGTATATTTTAACAAAACGCATTTGACTCGTGACAGGTCGAACAACTGATGTTCTTAAACCCTGCTGACATATATATATATGTATGTTGTTATTTTTATATTTTAGTATATGATAGAAAAATTAATAGTAATATATAAATATTGGGTACGAGTTGGATCAGTTGGCGTCATCTTTTATAATTTAGAATAGTCGGATTTAAAACGTGTCTTTTCCGAACAGAGCCAGATATTTCTCACTGCTCAAAATGAAAAATGGCGTCATTTTGTTGGGAAGGTAAACAATGTATTTTTCAGGTGAATAAACTTCTTCGTAGAATGTACTGATCGAGTTCTAGTTACCGTGAGTTTTCTTGAATATTCCACAAGCCTTTGGGTAAGGATTTCGATATTATATTTTTCATGGTTTTCAGTGAATATTGAATTAATACAATTATCTATTTTAATACCACACAATCATGACACTCACTTATTTTTTTTATTTTAGAAAAAAAAAACCTATTAAGAAATAATAAATATTAAATATCGAAATCCTGTACCCAAGCGACTGTGGAATATTCTTTTAAATAGGAGAAATTCCATAACAAGTGTCTGTGAGACATTCTTCTTAAATAAACACACAAAGGTCTAACAAAAATTAGATTCATCTGTTAGTGTTAAACAGGTTGGGGAAGATCCTCATAAATGGGTACTTACTCCATTTAGGGTGGGTCTTTTCACCACCGAACACCACCGCACACCACCGAACACCCAAAAAAACACCAACCACTAAGAAAAACAGTGATATTATACACTAAAACGATAAAACAAATTAAATTACGCATAATTTAATCAATATTTAGATTTTTATGAGCATCATTTTCATGTTTAAGTTGATTATCAATATAAAGGAAAACGTTTCCGGATTCAACCTTATTTACCGGCTTACAATCTGTTTGTATATATATTACTTTTATTTTGTGATAGCATTTTATCTTACTATCCTTTTTTGTTCTGTATAGATTTTTTCCTTCTGTTAATATTTTTTTCCTAACAAATACAAGTGACTAATATTTTCATATAATAATTTATTACATCAATGACTATATATACATAATTTACAACATGTTGAGTGTTTATCGTTTTTCTGTTCTCTCATTTACTGGTCTTTTTCTTTGGCAAGGTTTCTTTGCAATGTTTATGGCCTTATTTACAACTGAAAATTTCCCATCAGTGGAACTGATCATTATTATTTTTCGCTTTCTTTTCTTGTCTAGTAAAAAGTTCTCAAAAATTGATGATTTTTCATCTTCCGACTTGCATCTCCATATTTGGTCTGTTATTCTGTAATGTACTTCACTTGAGATCAAGTCATAGTCTCTGTGACCATGAAGACATCCTCTTAAGTGTACAAATTGTACCAGCACACAGTCGTAGAGTTTTTTTATTAATTCTGGTGTGGATTGGGGTTTCCATTTGATGGCTACTTTAAATACATGATTTATGCTCTCTGCGTTGTTAGTCCAAAGTTTTTCGGATTTGTCTTTATTTTTTCTCCGCGGTTCATTGACAAATGCTTTGATACGAGGTTTTAAATTGTCTGTGAAATACTTGGCAAGCTTGGGATACAGAACTATTTGATCCTTGAAGGTATTTGACTTATCTTCAAAGTCCACTGTATTATTTGCATTGACTACTCCGTCCTTTCCAAAAATGTTGTCCATGATTTCGTTTCGTTCTTTTACGTCGACACCAATTTTATTTTGAAGATAATGTTTTAAGTTGTCTTTTAAATGTTTGCTGCAGAGAAGTCTTGTTGCTGATGGAAAGGCATCTCTGATGGCATTGGTCATCGCCTTCTCGTCATCATAACCGAAGATTAGTTCCTCAGGAATTCTTAATTCAAGACTGTTTATTTTGAACTCAGATGCTAGATGAGAAAAAAATGAATAATAAGTTTTGTAGGATGCATCTTTGTGCAGTAGCATTGGACCAATAAATATTGGGTGGTCTTTTGTAGTTTTTTTTATCACTCTATGGTGTTTGTAAACTAAGGCTGTCACGAAGAAGCTTCCCAAATTGAACGTTCTGTCTACACCAACTGCACCGTCAGACCTGGCTAGAAACATCTTAAAGTCGGTCATCTGTTTTTCTGTATAACAGAGGATTGATGGCACTTGTTCTTTTTATGTATTACTTGTTGAACAAAGGGATGGTCGTTCAGCATACTAAGGACTTCTAGGATTTCGTCGGCTATGTTGTTTGAATTTGATGGCTGGTTTGCCTTCCTTTGTCGGTATTTGGCATTTTTAATTTGTTTAGTGTCATGCGGAGCGGTCATTGAATTGTCTTGATTCATTTGTAGGAAAATCTCTTTCGGCTTTTTGTCGCTGAATTCGGATTGCACTTGGCGAATAATGTTGGGATGAGTATGGACCTTATTGTCAGAGTTAATTACGTAGGTGCCTTGATACTCGTACAGAGCAATATCTGTTAATGTTGCATCTGATGTTGACGAAAACCAGGAAACATGTTTCTTAAATGCACTGTTTGATTTCAAAACAGTTTCGTAGCGATGCATAGTAATCACATCGTATTGAGGAGGTTGAGGTTCTTAAGCTGTCCATACCACTTGACCTTTTATGCGTTGCTTTAAACAGTACTGACTGTTTTTTTTGAAAATTGTCCTAAAATTGTCACTTATCAAGTAATCTTGAAGATGGGTGCGGCTTTGCTGGTATTCCATGAACCACAATCGTCATAGTAATTTCTTTTTTTGTCGCTGGTAAGGGTGTTTCCGTCATTACGGACTAGTAACCATGAATTGGATTTGTTACCAGAGGGACAGTCATCAAAAACTTGTTCTTTCTTATTTATGTGGGAGAAACATTCTCTTGCAGACATGAATTTACCTAGTGGAAGGCTATTAACACCATCAGCAACTGGATAATCGTCATTATCACTATCAGCAATGGGTTCTTCAATGTTATCGTCATCATTTGCATCTGATAGGACGTTTGAAGAATTTGTATAACAGTGGAGTTGTTCATCTGGTTGTTCAATGTTATCGTCATCTACATCTTGTTTGATACTGCTATTAGGAGATAAGTCTATGGTTTTGTCTGTCAAGTAATTTTCCAAAGCAGCATTTAATGGATTTGTTGTTTTTACGCATGGAGAGCTATGAGATTGTGGTACGAATTGTATATTATTAGCATTGTGTTCAAAAATTGGGACGAAGTGATTTGGTGTCCAGGTACCGCGCGGGTTTGAGGTTAATGATGAATGTGTTCACATTATGCTGATTTTATTGTTTGGCTGTAACATGGTACTAGCGTTGTAGACAGTGTTTAGCACCTTGACAGCAAGGTCCTGGTGACCATTAATTGCTGGATAAATGGAAGAAATGACAATACCTAGGGCATCAGATGCTGCAATCATTGTCCATATTGAAGAGTATGCTGCTGGTCTAGAACAGTCTAATACAGATTCTTCAAATGACGGAGACAGTATAAAGATGTCGTTGGCATCCGGACGGTTTTTGTAGAGTTCTGGGTGCAAACACATTTGTAGACATGTACGTAGACGAATTTCCAATGAATGCTGCTCAGTTCCATATAACGCAATGGAAATGGAATGAAAAAAACAATTTCCATCAGGTGTTGTGGATTTTCGGAACACCGTGTGTTGACATATTCTGTTGGTGCATTATAGCTTGTGTAAGGTAATCTGTCCTGAGAGTGTTGCTATCGACGTGTGTGGCTACTGTCAGTTGATCCTTTGGCAGTACAGCATACTCTCTCTTGGCTGCATATACTAAGGCATCATAACCACTCTGTGAAGCCTATTGAAAAAGAAAAGAGAGTAAATGAATTATATGTATAAGAAATGCTAATATCCTTCAAGAAGCATTTTTTCTACAACTTGTAGGACAAATATAACCTTTCAAATAATATTACAATAAAGTGTCATTTAAGGAACTTTTGTCTTTTTTATTCTGGACAAAAACGACACTTTATCGGAATAATATTTTACTCGACAATATAAAAGTTGGAGAACTTGGAGGACAAATATAACCTTTCAAATAATATTACAATAAATTGTCATTTAAGGAACTTTTCTCTTTTTTATTCTGGACAAAAACCACACTTTATCGGAATATTAAGTTACTGAGAATAGAACTAAAATAAAAAGGCATCAAACAGTTGGGCGTTTCTAATTGAAATGTTTGAGATTACCAATTAAGAATGATTGTTAGGAATTAGCTCCTGATTGAAATGTTAAAATGTCTTTCCATTACTCAACATGCCTAATCACTTTAATCTTATATTACTCAAAATTCCACTTCCACTGTTTGCAATAAATATCGAATCTTATTAGGTATTTTCATTAGTCTTCAAAAATAATGGATATGTACAACAACGCTTCTCTATTGGTTAAACTCCATAGTGAGATTTGTCTATTGAATGAAGCATAAATAATATATATTTAGGTTGTATTTATAATGTTAAAAGACAAAAAATTAAACTTTTGAGGTGTTCGGTGGTGTCCATAACATAAATAATATATATTTAGGTTGCATTTATAATGTTAAAAGACAAAATATTAAACTTTTGAGGTGTTCGGTGGTGTCCATGACGGGTAGTTTGCTGAGTTGTAGTGTTATAGACTCTCCATTTCTGTACGCTGTAGATAAATAATATCTTAATCTTATCATTTATTATGAATTTGTTGAAATAATAACATAAATAATATATATTTAGGTTGCATTTATAATGTTAAAAGACAAAATATTAAACTTTTGAGGTGTTCGGTGGTGTCCATGACGGGTGGTTTGCGGAGTTGTAGTGTTATAGACTCTCCATTTCTGTTCGCTGTAGATAAATAATATCTTAATCTTATCATTTATTATGAATTTGTTGAAATAATAACATAAATAATATATATTTAGGTTGCATTTATAATGTTAAAAGACAAAATATTAAACTTTTGAGGTGTTCGATGGTGTCCATGACGGGTGGTTTGCGGAGTTGTAGTGTTATAGACTCTCCATTTCTGTTCGCTGTAGATAAATAAGATCTTAATCTTATCATTTATTATGAATTTGTTGAAATAATAACATAAATAATATATTTAGGTTGCATTTATAACGTTAAAAGACACAAAAATACATTTTTTGGGTGTTCGGTGGGGTGTGGTGGTGTTCGGTGGTGAAAAGACCTACCGCTCCATTTATGGGTATTATACCCAATATTGGGATCTTCCTTAACTTGTGTAAAATGATTTTTGATGTGATGTTTGATCACAACAGAAGCAGGATCCAAGGAAATATATTCAAATGTTATCAATAGATACTGATACATGTATATCTGTACACCTGTATTTGTATAGTAAAATGACCAATTCGCCTTTTCAGAATCTTAAGGAATTATTATATGGGTGATCTCATTGTTCGTACACCAAAGTGAAAATAGCGTTACGTCATTGGTTGAATTTCCATTGTTTAGAACGTTTCAAACCAATCACAACGTTTTGTGCACAATTTTGCAAATATTACCCAGAATGCATTAGATTCTGAAACGGCGAATTAGCTTATAGAGGATAAATACATTTGTACAGTTACAGCTAACATTAGATATGACCTTAATGATTGATAGAGTGTTGGTGTTTAACACCACTTTCAGCACACTTGCCTAAGTAACATTTTGGTGGCCAGTTCTTATTGGAGGAAGAAGACAGCAGTACTCTGAGAGAACAACCAACCTTTAGCAGGAAAACTGGCATTCCTAGTCAATTAAGATAAGAAATGAACACACATTGCCACAAGCAGTATAATCTACATGTACATGTAGCTCACAACGTCAGTTGTGACAACATGGGCTTCAGAAAACAACATCAGACAATAACATTATTAAATATACATTTTGTAAATAAACCATCTCAATAAACAAAAAATAATCTACACATGTATAAGCTTAAGAAAATTAGCACACATCAGTGTGGAATGAATTAAGCACACATTAGTGTCAAATAAATTAAGCACACATATAAGGGTGCAAATAGAATAGGCACACATTTGTGCCAAATAACATAAGCACACATTAGTGTCCAATAAAATAAGCACATCTACAAAATGTATGCATTAAATGAAATAAACATACATAAGTGTCAAATGAAAAAAGCACACATTAGTGTCAATTAAAATAAGCACACATTAGTGTCAAATAAAATAAGCACACGTTAGTGTCAAAGAAGATAAGCACAGACTAGTGTCAAGATAAAATAGGCACATCTATTAAGTGTTAAATGAAATGCATTGTGTAAATAAAATAAACATACATAAGTGTTAAATGAAATAAGCACACAAATATGTATCTAAATATCTAATAAAATTAGCACACATACATGTACATGTAAGTGTCAAATACAATAAGCAAAATAAGTGCAAACGTAATAGGAATATGGATCAAGCACACATAAATATCCTACACAAGCACTTAAATGATGATTTGAAACAAGGCATTAAGGTTATAGCAAATTAAGAAAATTACAACATCAGCGGATAACATTATGATAGGCAGATAGCAAGACATGTAGCCAATAAGCAAGCAGCAAACTATAAAACAGATATGTTAAAAAAGCAGAAATATTATAATTTTGGCATTTACAGGCACTGCACTGGGTATGCAGAAACAATATTGTCCAACATACCAGCTATACATGTAATGATAAACTGGTCAAATGAGCCCATATTTCTGGCCAAATTGCATGATACACTCATTTCTTAATCCTGAATCTTATCCTTAAGTCAAAACTTGGCCTATTTTTATCTAAATATTGTCCCATTCCATAGAGCTTACCAATTTTAACCCTTACCTTAAATAAACCTAACCTTAACCCTAACTGTAAACTAAACCCTGGCCCTTAAGTACAGGAACCTTTAAATTAAAAGAATATCCTTACTGTAAATTTAACTTTATACCTTGAGTACATGGACTGCTAGACCCTTAAAGTAAAAGAATACCTAAGACTTGTTTGCTTGTTTGGGCCAATGATCAGGATTCAGGGTTTCTTAACTCTTTACAATGTCAATTACTCTGTACTCACAATGAATTCCCCCATAATAGTATATACTGTTCTTTCATACATTGTACATGGACAAAGTAGGCCTCTCTCTCTTTGGAGGTGCTATTATGTTCTCATGTTCATTGCAATTTGGAATGTTCATTATATTATCTCCATTTGTCTCAGCAATCAACATTTCTTCTCTTTTTGTGTTGGTATTTTGGACAATTTAGTAAGTATTTGTTGGTATACTAAGTTTCTTCTTCACACCATTTTCAATCTGGCCATGCAAGGATTATCCTATTTGTTTTTGGTACTTGTTCAATCTGTTGATGCTTGTTCAAATCTCTGATAAAGTTCTCCCTATCTCAGGCTTTTGCATGTCCATTTGGACAGCCTTCCCAACAAAAGATGCAGGTTCATGTATATGTGACATACATGTATCTCTGTTTTTGTGTTTAGTCCATCTACTTTGCCATTTCACTTTTGTTGACATCTTGACTGAACATCTGATATTTTGAAATGACATTAAATTAATCATTTAGGGATGGGGGCCTGCTTTTCTACATCTTTTGCTATCTGGTCCACTATCATAATCTTACTACTACATGTACATACTAGAAATTATTGTACTTCATGAACATGTACCATTTAGGTGTGTATTAGAGATTTTTTTTGTAGTGGAAACATTCACATAATATTCAATAAAGTACAACACATTATTGTTAAGATATATATATCTAATTGATTACAATGTTGTTGTTTTTTTTTCAGATGGTTAATTGATTACAGAACTGGTCATACAAAATGACATCCCCAATTAAGCAAGTGGATCCTTTTGTCATGCAGTATACTTCTCATGACACAGGTAAGTCTGGACCATACAAACCACTCACTCAACAATAAACCATTATGATCATTTTTCTTATCCTGATGTCACAAAATATATGTGTAGTTTCAATTACCGGTAAACATATATATATATATATATATCGGGACTCAGGAATTTTTGATTGATGTTGCAGGATCAAGAAAAGAATGCTATATTTTTTATGGGAATTCAGGATTCAGCATTTATTGTTCCGAGAATTTGGGATGACACCTCCTCCTACCCCCTCTTGAATGCTAGATAGATTTGGTACATGTATGTACCTAGTTTAATTGTGTCATCTGTAATCCTAAAGTATTGCATATGGAGCTAAATGGGGATGTTTTTTTTTCAAATTTGTTTTGATTATTTCAAAGACTATTTGGTTAAGTGCAGTAAAGCTTTTTTGAAAAAATAGGGTTGCTCTGCTAGTCTTCCCATTGCATTATCTGTTATAGACAGAGTTACACATCTGTGATTTACGGATCACCTTATTAATATTGCATGTCCCAATAAATATCTCCGATTTAACTATAAAAATATGGAGATGTGGTATGATTGCTGATGAGACAAATATCCACCACAGACCAAAGGACAAGGATGTTAAAAACTAGGTTATTATACAGCCTTCAACAATTAGCAAAACCTATTAGGTATAGTCAGCTATAAAAGGTCTTGCCATGCATGACAAAATGTAAAAATGTTCAAAAGAAAAACAAACAAAAAACAAATAAGGCAGACAGAAACCAATGATAACTACTGAATTACAAGCTCCTGACTTGGGACAGACAGAAACCAATGATAACTACTGAATTACAAGCTCCTGACTTGGGACAGACAGAAATCAATGATAACTACTGAATTACAAGCTCCTGACTTGGTACAGACAGAAACCAATGATAACTACTGAATTACAAGCTCCTAACTTGGGACAGACAGAAACCAATGATAACTACTGAATTACAAGCTCCTGACTTGGGACAGACAGAAACCAATGATAACTACTGAATTACAAGCTCCTGACTTGGGACAGACAGAAACCAATGATAACTACTGAATTACAAGCTCCTGACTTGGGACAAACACACAAAGAATGTTATAGGGTAAAACATACCCTGTACCTAACCTGGGACAGTGGTGTCACAGCATACCATAAGAACGTACTATAAATATCAGTTGGAAAAGGCTTGACTCATCAGATTGGTGCTAAGTACACATAAAACTACAAAAAAGAGAGACAAACTCAACACAACATTTAAATCTTGCTATAAATTAGTTTTATTTGGCTTCAGAGCTATAAAGAAGAGAAAACATTCTTTAGTTTATAGCAAATTTTCTTTACTGCTATGGGAACTAAAATATTCAGTTATTTTGATATGATGCTCCTTGTGACAATTGACGAAATTTTTGCACTTGATGATATGCTAATCTTCGACACTAAATTTAAAGTTCTTCAGAACTGCACCATGCAACACAGGTCAGACACAGCATATTGACTTGCTATTAGCATTTCTAACTGAAATCATTTACAAAAATGCTAATTCTATAAACTTTTTAGAAAAAAATAAGATCTGGAATGACTGCATGTCTGAACATTGTAATCTTTTTTAGACACACTTGTAAACAAAGCCACAAATGGAGTTAGAAGTAATAAATATAAAGCTGTTGATTATGACAAGTTACGACTACTTGCTGCTGAGAAAAAGTTTGCAGCTCATAAGTCTCTCCTTAAGGTGAAGAAAATAGAACAATTGTCTAAACAAACCAAGGAAAATAATCTTCTTAAACAACATAAACTTGTGTGGAATAAAGAACTGATACGACTTAACAATTTACGTAAAAGGCTACAATCAGACATTGATGTTCATAGAGGAGTTAACCTGACTCCAGGAAATACATGCTGTTCATTATTTGAAGATTTTGAAGACTTTGAAGCATCATTAGATGTAGAGTTTGCCAAGTTTAAAGCAAGCACCACACAACCAGTATGGAATCTAAGGTAATGAGACATTTTCTTGTAGGAAGGGTAATTGTTTATTAAGTTGTTTGAAAAAGATTGAGACAAAATTAAAATGTTTTATTTTTTTTTTTACTAATCCTCAGTGACAGTGTAAATGTTTAAAGGCCCATTTCAACCCAAAACATCTTTATCACCCTGAGTGGTTAACTTGAGGGTCTGATATTGGTCAAGGGTTGATGTGGGTAGAAAAATGAAAATAAAAACCTAATTTATATTTTGGGGTTTTCAAGTTTTTAAATACTTATAAAATGACTTTAGCTAGCCTTTACTGATTTGTGATTTTATACTGAAGGTGGTACAGAGGCCAATTTTGATTGATATTCTTATGGTTATTATCATAATCGTTAATCAAATATTATTTAAGATCCTTATTTACTACTTATTATGACAAATATAATTACAGAGAAGATCTGCAGTATTGGCTACAGGAAAATATGGAAGATTTACGAATGGGCTCTCCTGACACTGTACAAAAGCATAATGAAATTCAGTGTACCATTGATAATGTAAAAGGTCAACAAAAAAAGGTGCTGGAAAAGTTACATCATCAACAGATTTGTTTAGAACAGGAACTAGGAATGGGTAAGGCATTTTATCTGTCCCTTGAAAATTTTCAACTCCAAAAGATTTATAATTTTATCATAAATATGTTTATTGTGTAGCTCTGTGGTGAATGCAAATTCATTATCTTTCAGGGGTGCTTATTTTCCTGGATTCCGTGGGTACAGGGAAACTACACATTTAAATGTTTAACAAAAAACAAATTCCAATAGACTTGTGTGTAAAATTTATCACAACTTGTTTACAAGATTGTCTTCACAGTCCACCATGACACATGTTTACAAGATTGTCTTCTCAGTCCACCTTGACACATGTTTAAGATTGTCTTCTAAGTCCACATTGACACATGTTTACAAGATTGTCTTCTCAGTCCACCTTGACATATGTTTACAAGATTGTCTTCTCAGTCCACCTTGACACATGTTTACAAGATTGCCTTCTCAGTCCACCTTGACACATGTTTAAGATTGTCTTCTAAGTCCGCATTGACACATGTTTACAAGATTGTCTTCTCAGTCCACCTTGACATATGTTTACAAGATTGTCTTCTCAGTCCACCTTTACACATGTTTATACCACTTATAAAACACTTTTAGTACATGATAGAACATTTAACATGAAGAATGCTTCATTTTGCAAGCAACATAGGAAAACTAAAAAAGTTCACCAAACTCATGTAAACAATGTTTAAAAATGTTAGATACAATTTTCTATTGGAGTGCATATATTAACCATATTCAGTTGACCTATTACTTTTTTGTGTTTTTGCTGTGCACATACTGATTTTGTGTCCTGGATGGATACCACATATCCTTTCTTATCTATAATACAATATATAAAAGATTCACATTCATTTATGCTGTGATCTCAAATAAAGTATGGACATTTTTAACTCATTGACATGGAAAAACCCTAATTTGAAACCTGTCAGTTTCTGAATGGTAACAGAAGTATAATTTGTTTCTTACTTGCCAATTATGTACAATGAAATTATATTTACAGGATTTCTTGGTACAATAACTCAAAATGAAGATAGTCAAAAGGTTCATGTAGAAAGTGGTATTCCAGAGGAAGCATATGATCTTGAATGTTCAGACTTTGATCTCAAAGTCTCAGTCTTACAGGAGTTTATTATCATGGATGAAAAGTTCAGAGAAAGGTTAAAATATCTTGAAGAGGAACATTCTAAAATTTTAAAGTAAGTACTTTAATTGAAAATAACTTCTGTTATTAGATTTAATTTTTAAAACAATTTAAATTATCAACTACAAATAAATTTCACCTCATCATACAAGAGAACCTAGATAGGTCTAATTTTTCTAGGATGGTTCACCAAAATAGTATCTACTTGTTCTGTAAAAAGTGTAAATTTGTAAAATCTGTTTTTCACAGCTATATATGATAGTATTATTTTGTCTCATGTTGACACTGCATAGTAAATAATCAACTATGAGTAAACAAAAATATAACTGTATCAAAATGATTTCTTATAATGACCATGTGATAAATTTTCTTCACATTCATAGGAGTTCTGAATAGAGGACTCTGTAATTTGGTATCAATATTCATGTTTGCATGCTGTAACGTGTGATACCTTTTCACATCCATTGCTCTGAATCTTCTTGTTTACCAGATATTTTTTTTCGCAGTTCACATTTCAACTTGTGTATGATGTAAGATCTTCACCAAAGCAGTCACATTAAGTGTCAGTATACACTAAGACATGAATGTTATAGTCAATTATCAATTGCTCCAAAGATTGGAGCAATTGATAATTGACTATAACATTCACCTACTGCTGCATATCACCTACTGCTGCATATCAAACAACCATAAAATGAAACTTTACTAAAAACTTTACAACTGATTCTTAAGATTTAATCAAACATAACAATAATTCCACAATAATGAAATCAAAACAGAATAGACAATAGTCAATTATCAATTGCTCCAAAGATGATCATTATATTCACTGTGATATATGAGCAGTACCCTCATAAGATGAAGAATAGACGGAAAATGATCATAGTCAGATTACAGCGACATCTACCAAAGAAACTCAGAGCTGATTTGGTAATAACATTCCTTGTTTTTGTTATTGTTGATATATATAACACCTAGCAGTAAATATAAATGTACCTTTGAAGTCTATTCTCTGTTTTGATTTCATTATTGTGGAATTATTGTTATGTTTGATTAAATCTTATGGATCAGTTGTAAAGTTTTTAGTAATGTTTCATTTTAAGGTTGTTCGATATGCAGCAGTTCAATATCATAATGCTATTTTTCTTCAGAGTATGTGAAAAAAAGGTCAAATTGTTGGTCTGATCTCAACTTCTTGTTTCATAGAGCATGGTTAAGTTTGAACTTTTAGATAGGTTGCTGTGAAGCTGGTGTGATATCACAGTGTTAAGATGTGAACATTAATATTACTAGCCCAAAAATAGGTCAAAACAATGGAGTGACCCAGATTTCATGTTTGAGGTGTCAATAGTACTGTAGCATGTTCATATATAAATCAAAGTCATGGCTCAATAATAAAAAAAAACTATTTAATTCTAATGATAGACAAAACTATGTGTTGGGATATTGTGCCCATTGCACACAGTTTGATGTTGTATTCTTTCTTTGGAATAATAGTGGCTGCTTTTGTATTGATTACTGTATACATTATTACATGAATTTATGTTTTAGGTTAGGAAGGAATGGTGGCTGGTCAGATGATGACCACTATATATTCACTGTGATATATGAGCAGTACCCTCATGAGATGAAGAATAGACGGAAAATGATCATCGACAGATTACAGCGACATCTACCAAAGAAACTCAGAGCTGATTTGGTAATGATATTCATTGTACTTTGTATTGTTGATATAACACCTAGCAGTAAATATAAAAATAAGAAGATGTGTCAATAGGAAAACTCTTCACCAGAGAAAAAATGACATAGAAGTTAACAAATATAGGTCACCATACAGCCTTCAACAATGAGCAAAACCCATAACTCATAGTAAGCTATCAAAGGCCCAGAAATGACAAATGTAATGGTTAGTTAAGAGATTTTACATGATGAGGTCTGGTGATTAATAAAGCTTAAATTATTGTTTGAACAGTATGAAGGTATTGTGATTTCATCACTAACAGACATTTTGAACTTGAGAAATATCCATCTATTTTAAGGGTCACAAATCAGTATTGAAGTCAAGTATATGAAAACTAAGAATGATTGAAACAAAAGATAGGCTTTGTTTTCAAGTAGACATAATTTGTTCAATTAAATTATTCCTATATATGAAACCTTATTTCTAATGTTTTGAAACAATATGATCTAACATTATTTGATAATGTCAGTTTTTTAGAAATTCCTATTTGTTTCCAATTATATGCTATGAGAACATTTATTGACAAAGTATGTATATGCAGGTGTCACATGAAGAATGGTGTGATTCTAACAAATATTTTCGTGAACGAAAGAAAGCTTTAATGGTGGCTTGGCAGAAAGGAAGATCAGCCTTGTATCACAAAGCCGAGTCAATTTTCACTGAGGCAGAGATGGCTGCTCAATTAGAGGAAGTTAAAGCAGAGTATAATCGTAAACAAAGACAAGTGAGAGAAGTCCTACACGAAAAGGTAAATTTAATGAAACACAAAGGTTCCGTTCATTCTTCCCAAGCTTTGTTGCATATTGCATTGCTTCTATATGATCAAATTTTTTTCTGTTTAGCTTGGAACTTTATAGATGTACTGTGTAAGCGATTTTTAGAAGAGCCAGGCAGTCACTTCCTGTTTGAATGTTTATGATACTTTATGGAATGTTTCATTGCCAAAGAAGAGATATGATTACAGCCATTATTTGGACTCTGAAATTGTAGAAAATAGTAAAATCACCCTTTCAACATTATGTTGATTTTATTGATAAAAGAACAGGTTATTATAATCGCCTAAATTCATGAAGTTTGAAGCCCTAATGCTAGACAAAATTCTAAAATATAAATACTGCTGTCTAACAGATTAATGTCTTGTGAATATTTGAAGGATATTACATGATTACAGATTCAATGAGGTCAAATTATTCACTTGCAAGTGAATAATTCATCATCAATGATTCTTACCTTATTTTGGCTGCTTAAAGCGAATTAGTATTTCATTATATCACTTTCATTTAATATCTCATATCTAATGCCCCTTTAAAGAAGTTCCAATTGATGTAAAAATAAGAGGATCTAGAATGATTGCCAGTGAGACAACTATCCATCAGAGAACAAATGATGTGCTCGTAAGCATTAAAACTGCAGGTTACCGTACAGCCTTAAATAATGAGCAAAAAAGGTTTAGTCAGCTATAAAAGGTCATGACATGACAAAATGTAAAACAACTCAAATGAGAAAACCAACAGACAGATAGATAGGGAAATTCTCGAAGTAGAAGTTTATAAAGTCTACTAGCTTCTAGGAAAATAGTTTTAGATTATTTCACTGATAAGTAAGTATTGACAAAGCATAAGTAACATTGCTTTTGAAAGTTTACTTTTTATCATAAAACACACAAGTATGAACATATAATTGTGGAAAATACCTCTAATATTTTAAGCTGAGGGAGTGGAATATTTATCTTTAAAAAAAGACATGAGGTGATGTGGTAAAAGTTGGTTCATTTTTTCCGTGCTTTTATTAGCATTTCAGAATGATATAAATTCCATGTGATCATCTGATTGCTTATCATATTTTCTTATGCTATTTGATATTCATTGTAGAAATCCAAATTGGAATACATTTGAATGTTTTATTAGGGCCCCGCCGAATGGTGGACGCCCTATAGTGATCAGTCTGTCTGTCCGTCCGTCTGTCCGTCCGTCCGTCTGTCCGTCCGTCCGTCTGTCTGTCCGTCCCTAACAAATTGTGTCCACTCTATATCTAGAGAACCGTTATGATTTCAAAGTTTATACTTGACATGTATATTAACCAACACCAGAGGGTGTGTCATAATGTATGTACAACTTCCTAGGTCAAAGGTCAAGGTCAAAAACTTTGGTTTTAGTTGACAACCCCATGTCCTATGGTAAAGATCGTGTCCGCTCTATATCTTGAGAACCGTTTTGATTTCAAAGTTTATACTTGACATGTATATAAACCAACACCAGAGGGTGTGTCATAATTTATGTACAACTTCCTAGGTCAAAGGTCAAGGTCAAAGGTCAAGGTCAAAAACTTTGGTTTTAGTTGACAACCCCATGTCCTATGGTAAAGATCGTGTCCGCTCTATATCTTGAGAACCGTTATGATTTCAAAGTTTATACTTGACAGGTATATAAACCAACAACAGAGGGTGTGTCATAATTTATGTATAACTTCCTAGGTCAAAGGTCAAGGTTTCAGTTGACAACCCCATGTCCAATGATCATGATGATAAAGATACAAATTATTTACCACACATTATTCACAGCGGGGCTCCCATCTCAATGATATCTAGTTATGTTTAAGTATGCTTTAGTAATGCAGGAATGAATGTATGTTTTCATCAAAAGTATTTCTTTGCCAGAAAAGTTTAATTAATTCTGTTATGTTTTCTGAAATGAAATCAAGTTTTCCTCGTCCAAACTTTATGAAACTCATACACAATGCTAAGAACCAAAACATACAGACAGATTTCGAATTGGTGCAGTGAGTCACTGATCTAGAGTTATGCTCCTTTATAACTTGGAAAATTACTTTTTTTTTTTTCATTTCTGCACTCTTACTTAAGTTTGCCTCATGCAAATTTCATGAAACTCATACACAATGCTAAAAACCAAAATTCACAGACAGAGTTCAAATTTGGGCAGTGAGTCACTGTTTTAGAGTATGCCCCTTGATAACTTGGAAAATAACTATTTTTTAGCTCACCTGGCCCATAGGGCCAAGTGAGCTTTTCTCATCACTTGGCATCCGTCGTCCTGCTTCCGTTGTCCGTAAACTTTTACAAAAATCTTCTCCTCTGAAACTACTGGGCCAAATTTGACCAAACTTGGCCACAATCATCATTGGGGTATCTAGTTTAAAAAATATGTCCTGTGACCCGGCCAACCAACCAAGATGGCCGCCATGGCTAAAAATAGAACATAGGGGTAAAATGTAGATTTTGGCTTATATCTCTGAAACCAAAGCATTTAGAGCAAATCTGATAGGGATAAAATTGTTTATCAGGTCAAGATCTATCTGCCCTGAAATTTTCAGATGAATCTGACAACCCGTTGTTGGGTTGCTGCCCCTGAATTGGAAATTTTAAGAAAATTTTGCAGCTTTTGGTTATTATCTTGAATATTATTATAGATAGAGATAAACTGTGAACAGCAATAATGTACAGCAAAGTAAGATCTACAAATAAGTCAACATGACCAAAATTGTCAATTGACCCCTTAAGGAGTTATTGCCCTTTATAGTCAATTTTTTACAATTTTCATAAATTTTGTAAATTTTTGTAAATTTTTACAAAATATTTTCCACTGTAACTACTGGGCCAAGTTCATTATAGATAGAGATAATTGTAAGCAGCAAGAATGTTCAGTAAAGTAAGATCTACAAACACATCACCATCACCAAAACACAATTTTGTCATGAATCCATCTGTGTCCTTTGTTTAATATGCACATAGACCAAGGTGAGCGACACAGGCTCTTTAGAGCCTCTAGTTTTCATTTAGTTTCAGTTACTCAAAAATATCAAAAGTATTAAAATATTTTCATTTTTATTATTTTTTAGATTCGCAATTTTAGGGAACAGCAAATGGAAGCTTTGATAATTCAACATAAAATGGAATCTGAAAAACTTCAAGCTGTTAGAGAAAGACTTAAAATGGAAGCAGAATTAGAGACAAAGAAAAGAACTCATGAGAAAGAACAAGTATAAAAACAATTGTTTAATTTGTTCCATGCGATCATGTTTTACATCCTAAATAACATTTATATTTGTGTGAACTTCATTGGGTAATATATCATTTATAGTATTGTATTTAGATTTTTTGGAATTAAAGCTACAATCTATTCAGTAGTTAATCAAATGGTATATAATCTTCATATTTTTATAGGTAGCCAAGTTTCATGAAGAAATTGAAAAGAAACAACAAAAACAGTCAGAGAAAGATCAAAAAAGATATGACGAGTTACAGGCACAACTTGCTGAACAAGCAAAATTTGATCAAGAAAGGTAATTATTTGTTTAGGTTATACATACAATTTCCATAAGAAATTCAAAAGTTGAAATGGGAGGTCATGATTGAGTAACAAGACATTATATATATGTAACAACTTATTTTGACTGGATTTAAGTATCTATTTAATTTAAGAACATATGCATATTTCTTCTAACAAAATCTAAACTGTAAATAATTTACGGAAAAATAACTTTTATTTATTTTAATTTTTTATTCATATTAACTTCAAAGTAATTATTTTATTGTATTTATTAATCATTTAAATGTTCCTTTTTCATAGCATATATCATTCAAATAAATGTATCAATTTTCATTTTTACATGGTGACAAGGCAGCATATGAATGTTCTGGTAATTCCTCAAATAATTTTTCCAACCTAATATCTGCCCTTTATATATTTATTGGGCATTTATTGTTGTTACAGTACTGATAAAGTTTTTTCCAAAAGTTTCATTGTGAAAGTTGTGATCTCTCTTACCATTAATTATTTAGTTGTGCACATGTTTCATATAACTGGTTACACAATGTAATAGAAAAAATATACAATAACACTTTTGGAAATACTAGCTTAATTTTAATTATATTCAATGCAGGGGATTTTGGTTATTTGTATAGCCTATTTGTCAGACAAATTCCTTAAATAACTTTTTTAACCCATTAGTGTAGAAGAGCTTTTTCCTTGACTTTAGAACTACATTCATCATGACCTCGTGGATTGTAAACTACTTGGTTTTTTATTTTGTGTTACCTAATCTGTGAAATAGACATGGAAATTATACCTGTTTGGCACCCTTTGCTTTGCATAGATGTTGGATTTTAGAAAATCCCTTGCCTCCAATCTTACCAACACTGCATTTTTCCTGGAATAGTCATACCTAGTACATAATTTTGACATGTACCGTAGTAGAATTGACAAAAACAATTTGTTCAGTATTATCATCACAATTATTTCCAGTTTATACAAAAAAATACTTTACATATTAGATCATAATCAAATGAAAAATGTTTAAAATGCAAAAAATGTATTTAATCTAGGATTAAATATAGAGCAGAACAATTAGATGCAAAAATTGAGGAAAGAAAGTACTTAAAAGAAGAAAAAAGGCAAGCAGAAATAGAAAAAGAAGAAAGACTTGAGGCCTTAAGAGAGCAGGTTTGTTTTACTCAATGTGTCTACTTCAAAGACAAACAAGTTAGCAGACTAACTACACTGATCATTATAGGTTGCACTTTTGTAAATATAGACAATGCAGTTTCCCATAGGAACTCCTTTTATGGCTAAAACTGTGGCACTTTTACTATGAAAAATTATATCCTAGAATGGAAATTTCACATGCATTACTATTCTTTTCAAAGGTCAAAATATAGGGCTGTACAGCATATTTACAACATTTATATGCCTCAAACTTCTAAGAGTTTAAACTTATACTAAAATTCTGTACTACCCCTCTCTTCAATTTGGGTCTTCCTCAGAATTCATCTTTGCTGCTATCCATGTGTATTTATACTGGTAAAGTTCCCAAGATGTGTCAAAATGAGATGAAACATAGAGATCATATCTGGGAACCAGTAGGTAAACAAAACAAAATATCTTTGAATATTATATATCTCCCCAAAAGGGGCATGGTTTGTGAAACAGCTGTATTTACAAAGTGTAACCTATACTAACATTTATTAGTCCCCTACCTACGAAGTCGAAGGGGACTTTAGGTTTGCACTCCGTCTGTCTGTCTGTCAATCCTGCAGTCTGGCAAATCAGTTTTCACACTTTTTTCTTCGTGCTCTAAGAAATTGATTTGATATTTGGTGTATTGTTTCATCATGACAAGCCACAGATCAAGATCTAATTTTGTTCCAGTCTGATAATTTTGTGCAGAGTTGTGGTCCTTGGATTTAGAAAATTCACTCCAATAATCAGTTTTCCTCACTTTTTTCGTCATGCTTGAAGATGTTGATTTGATAATTGGAATATAGTTTTATCATGACAAGTTACAGATCAAGTTCGAATTTTGTTCTGGTCTAATGATTTTGTGCAGAGTTATGGTCCTTGGACTTAGAAAATTCACTCAAACAATCAGTTTTCCTCACTTTTTTTCGTCATGCTTCAGAATATTAATTTGACAATTGGTATATAGTTTTATCATGACAAGTTACTGATCAAGTTCGAATTTTTTTCCGGTCTAATGATTTTGTGCAGAGTTATGGTCCTTGGACTTAGAAAATTCACTCAAATAATCAGTTTTCCACACTTTTTTTTGTCATGCTTGAAGATATTGACTTGATATTTGTTATACAGTTTACACCATGTTAAGTTATAGATCAAGTTATCATTTTGTTCCAGTACAATGATTTTTAACTGGCAGGGGACTATGTATTGCCATGCAATACTCCCAGAATGCTTGTTCAAGTAGAAAACTCTTTAAAAACACTTTTTCTCACAACAATACTTATTTATCAGAATCATAGCCTAAAAGAAATCTCTGCATGTACTGTAACTTTTCTTTTACAGTACATTTAATACCCCCTCCCCCACCCCTGTTTTAATTTTTAAAGAATTTGAAAACAAGACCAATTATTTTCAGCTTACCCTATGTGCATGTTTTCTGACATGTATTGCCTACAACCTGTATGAAACTACTCTAATTACAAATCAAAAGAATTTCAAAATCCTATTATTTATACATTAATAGTTAATCATTCCAACATTCAAGATTATATAAAGTATCCAATCCTGCCTCTGTCTCCAGTTCACATCTTACTGTATGCCCCTTTAATCTATAAAAGTTCACAGTTTCTGCTTCAAATGGTCAGTTTAGAAATCTTCTCACAATGATATCATCTCTAACCATACATCTAACATAATTTGGCTAATATATGAACTGGAAGTGTTTAAACAAAGCTATATTTGCAAAAGTTGTATGTATGAAGTTACCAGTTTGATATATAAATTCATTAAAAGTACTATAGAACTGACTGCTAAAATCTGTTTTGTGCATAACTTCAAAGCATGGTTATTGTTGTCTACAAAAAAATACCTTTATAATGATAAAGTCATAGCCTTTAAAGGTTAAATTATCTGTTTTATGACCCAAGGGTTGGGGATTTTTCTTTGTTTTTTGCCACTGGGGCATCAAATTTGCTAAATAATTCTGCTGTTTCTCTGAATATGGAATACTTGGTATATTTTTGTCGAGCCTTCGACTTTTGTCGAAAAAGCGAGACATAGCGATCCTACATTCCGTCGGCGTCGGCGGCGTCCACAAATATTCACTCTGTGGTTAAAGTTTTTGAAATTTTAATAACTTTCTTAAACTATCCTGGATTTCTACCAAACTTAGACAGAAGCTTGTTTATGATCATAAGATAATATTCAAAAGTAAATTTTGTAAAAAAAAAATTCCATTTTTTCGGTATTTTACTTATAAATGGACTTAGTTTTTCTGCCAGGAAACATTACATTCACTCTGTGGTTAAAGTTTTTGAAATTTTAATAACTTTCTTAAACTATCCTGGATTTCTACCAAACTTGGAAAGAAGCTTGTTTATGATCATAAGATAGTATCCAGAAGTAAATTTTGTAAAAAAAAATTCTATTTTTTCCGTATTTTACTTATAAATGGACTTAGTTTTTCTGCCAGTTAACATTACATTCACTCTGTGGTTAAAGATTTTAAAATTTGAACAACTTTCTTAAACTATCCTGGATTTGTACCAAACTTGGACGGAAGCTTGTTTATGATTAAAAGCTAGTATCCAGAAGTAAATTTTGTAAAAAAAAAAATCCATTTTTTCCGTATTTTACTTATAAATGGACTTAGTTTTTCTGCCAGTTAACATTACATTCACTCTGTGGTTAAAGTTTTTAAAATTTGAACAACTTTCTTAAACTATCCTGGATTTGTACCAAACTTAGACAGAAGCTTGTTTATGAATAAAAGCTAGTATCTAGAAGGAAATTTTGTTCCATTTTTTCCGTATTTTACTTATAAATGGACTTAGTTTTTCTTCCAGTTAACATTACATACAGTCTGCAGTTTAAGTTTTTAAAACATTTATTAGATTCATAAACTATCCTGGATTTTTACCAAACTTGGACAGAAGCTACTTACAATCAAAAGATAGTATAGAGAGGAATATTTTTATTAATTTTTTTCCTCATTTTTGCTGAGCCTGTGATTAACAGCAAAAAGTAGGCGAGACACTGGGTTCCGCGGAACCCTTACGAATTTTTAGAATAGAACACACTATTGTTTGTTTTATAGAGGTACATATTTAGTTTATAAGTCAAACAGCGAACAGAAATCAAGTATCAAGATAGCAAATATCAAATCTTCTTTTTTCATCCAGAAATCAACTTACCAAGATTATGACAATTATTAGATAGCATAAAACTCTATCAGAAAATTAAGTCATTGAAGGTCTTACTATAATAATAAATATCTCAGATTTTTTCTTATTTTGAAAAATCAATCTGAAAAATTGAACACTGCTTGAACAGTATTTCAAGAGTTTTTGGAGAATCTCTATAGGACTCTTAATTTTTCCCTTAAGAAAAGGAAACAAATATAAACAATTCACTGAATAAATGTCATTTTTGCTTACCATATTACTTATGGCTTTTCTATACTAATTCATGAAATGTGGGGCTTAAGTCAAAACTTTACATAACCCTAACCAGTCTAAACTAACTGATCATATCAACTTTCATAGACTCAGACAATTTAGAGCTTGACATATTGTATGGACACCTGTCTTTTGTTGAAGACTGTATGTTGACCTCTCATGTCTATTTGTTATTTTTGTCATTGTGTTACTGTCGCATCTGTGTAAACCAAACATCTCGTTTTATTCATATAAACATTGTTAAGCTTAATTTAATCATATTTATAAAATGAAAAGCTAGCTGTCAACTCATTTAATGTAATGACATTTCTTTATTTGTAATTATACTTTGGCTATTTTGATTTGTTTCACACTTGGCCATAACATCAAATAGGATATTATTAATTTAGTCATTTTAAATTAAGTCACCTGGCTTTAGTTTATTGATTCCTGTCTATGGGGTAATGAAAATGCTTGTCTATGAAATACTCAATTGGAAAATGGAACATCCCTTTGGAGGGTTTTCTTACAAAGGGTATGACAACCCTGAGTTGAATCAACTAATAAAAATCCTTGGTCATTTTTATACACCCGTCAATTTTTGACGGGACGTATTATGGTATACAAATGTCCGGTGTCTGTCCGGCGTAAACATGTCGCACCGTAACTGGAGAATGACTTATCCAAATTTCATGAAACTTAATATAGTTGTTTCTTATGATGGTCAAACGATCTGTATACTTTTTGGTGAAAATAAGATTAAAACTTTTTGAGTTACGGGACTTAGTAACTAAAACAGGTGTGTGTTTTTTTCACATGTCGCGCCATATCTCAAAAACAATTTATGATTATTGCTTAAAACTTTACACACTTCTTAGTTATATTAATCTTAAGATGTGTATACTTTTTGGTGATGATTCAAAATTTTATTTTAGAGATATTGAGTATTTTGTTAAAAAAGGGGGAGGGGTTTTTCACATGTCGCGCCATATCTCAAAAACAATTTATGATTATTGCTTAAAACTTTACACACTTCTTAGTTATATTAATCGTAAGATCTGTATACTTTTTGGTGATGATTCAAAATTTTATTTTAGAGATATTGAGTATTTTGTTAAAAAAGGGGAGGGGTTTTTCACATGTCGCGCCGAATCTCAAAAACAGTTTATGACTATTGCTTAAAACTTTACACACTTCTTAGTTATATTAACCTTAAGATCTGTATACTTTTTGGTGATGATTCAAAATTTTATTTTTGAGTTATTGAGTATTTTGTAAAAAAAGGGGGAGGGGTTTTTCACATGTCTCGCCGTATCTCAAAAACGATTTATAATTATTGCTTAAAATTTTACACACTTCTTAGTTATATTAATCTAAAGATCTGTATACTTTTTGGTTTTGATTCAAAATCTTATTTTTGAGATATTGATTTTTTTTTTTAAAAGGGGGGTTTTCACATGTCGCGCCGTATCTCAAAAACGATTTATGATTATTGCCTAAAATTTTACACACTTCTAAGTTATATTAATCTTAAGATCTGTATACTCTTTGGTTTTGATTCAAAATTTTATTTTAGAGATATTGAGTTTTTTGTAAAAAAAAAGGGGGGTTTTCGCATGTCACGCCGTATGTCAGAAACTATTTATGCTTATTGCATAAAACATCACACACAAGACGACGGGCGTATCATGCGCTCATAGCACAGCTGTTTATTTTTATTAAAGATTGTTTCCATACTTTTAGTAGAAGCAAAAATTAGTTATTTAAGAATTCTTTGGTTTTTGATTCATTTTACTATTGGGAAATGTTAATTTTAAGCTATTTCTAGAATCCTCTTATAAATATAACTGATATAGACGGAATTTCCAAAACTTACTTTATGTCTTATTGGATGGTTCAAGAGGATTGGATTAGTGCAACTAAAAAGAATTGATTTTAATATTCCCAATAATCAAATTGGCTAAAATTTCAATACAAGTAACAAGTTTTAAAGATTGTAAAGATAAGATTTATAGATAATAATGGCTTACCCTTAAGCTTACTGGTAGGTCTAGTTCCAATCTTACGTATTCAACGTAGTTTGGTAAAAAAAAATACTTACACAACTTATTTAACTTTTATATATTTCTAGGTACGGGTTGTAGCAGAAAGTGATCCACACAGAATATTACAAGAAACAGAGGTAAGTTAATTTATCATACAGCAAGATCCATGTAGAATGTTACCAAAGCTATTATTGTAAATAGTACAGTATTATTTCCAAAGGTGACATTAACTGGAGTAATACATTTTTTGTCATTTTAAAAGTTTTGCTGTACAGTAAAACATGTCATTGCATGACTGTTAGTGAATACATGTGTATTATTCTCCACAGAATATTTGATAAACAATATATGTGCTACAACTATATATCCTGGTTTCTTTAACTTTGTATGCATTAAAACTAATTCTAACCAGTGGTAAATATGATAAACCAGACGTTGGTTGAATTTGTCGTTTTGTGTCTTCTTGTCATATTCATTCGGAACATTGCACTCTGCACTTTCTATTATTTCATCAGAGAAACAGGTTCCACTTCTTTACCCCATTGACTTCAATATTTCCCCCCTCTTAATAGTTTAGTTTTAATTGAAAAAGAGAAAAGTTAGGACATTCAATTAACAAAAATACAGGTCTTCCCTACTTTTTATTGAAAATATGTACATCTTATTTCAATTTATTATATCGATTTGTTTATATGTCATGGTTTTATAATGAATATGCAATGAATTATTTATAGAAATTGATTAAATAAAATTGGAATTGATTATTTTAGTCAGTTAATGTAAAGGATATCAAAAATATAAAAGGGATACCCATTCTGGTTTTTATTCTGGATTTTAAACAAAATAGTGTAAAACTGGTAAATAAGTTAAATCATCTTCCCTTAATCGAAAGCTCCTACATGCCAAATTATAGATTCATTTATTTGTGAGTAAGATAATATAGGGTTTGTAAAATTTAAAAACAGATAAGATTGTTACCCCATCATCGGCATGTTAAGCTGGATGCCAACTTTAAAACTTGTGCTTATCTATGATTATTTTAAGCCATTGCTGTAAATGAAATGAATATTCTTCTTGCATTTGTTTTAAAAAAATATATGGGCTGCAAATTTGAAAATAATATTAAATTTATAATTCATCAATATCTGAAAAGTACAATTGTTGATGGGACAAATTTGATACAATGTAATTGTATTCACTATTCTAACTTAACTGTTAACTTTCAACTAAAAATTGTGATACATGAATTCCATTCTCAATTTTATAGCAGTAAAAAAGTTAAAGTTTTTTCACTGTCACACTCGTAAGGTAATTCAATGTGTTTTTTTTAATGAAAAAGCAATCATAAATTATTCAAGAACCAAAAACAAATAGATGATTTGTACCACAGTACATAGAAATTTATTGAAAAAAATATCCAATAAGATGTGTGTCATCAGATTGTATATTTTGAAACTTTGATGAAATTAACCTCAGACCTATCCATTTTATCTCTCTCTTTTATTTTAACACATATATAAAAAATTGCAGGCATGGCAAAATAGGTATGCAGAAAATGAAGATGACATTGACATACAGAAGCCATTATTTAATGTCATAGGGTTTACATCTAAACAGGTAAATAATTATTATTTAATGTTTACATAATTATAAATATTGGACTTATTTCCAATCTGATAATTTACAATTTTTATATAAAAGCTTATATCGAAACATGTAACTTTTCATTTTTTAATGACATAGGATTTACTTTAAACAAGATATTTACCATTATTTGATGTAATAGGTTCACATCAAAACAGGTTACTTACTTTCATTTAATGTCACAATTTTTACATCAGAATATGTAACTTACCTTTTTAGCTCACCTGACCCTCAGGGTCAAGTGAGCTTTTCTTATCACTTGGCATCTGTCGTCATCCGTCTTCTGGCATCCCTTCATCCTAAACTTCTACAAAAAATATTCTCCTTAAAACTACATGGTCAATTGGACCTAAATTTGGGTACAATGTGCAAGTCATTTCAGGAAGGCGGTAATGATAGCCTTTTCCTCAATTCCTCTGTCCATATCATAAACTTGGATATGTTTACATACATTTAATAACCCCATAGTTTTTACACCTTCATTCTACGGTCCTCTGCTCTCCAAATCAGCACAAATGGTTAAGCTCAATAACTTGTTAAAAATTGAAACATGTCCAATATCACTGCACAGAGATTTTTTGTTAACACCCTTCTTTTGTGTTCCTCACTTTGAATATTGACCCATTTGGATATCTAGTTTTAAAAATGTGTCAGATGATATTTACTAGTCAACCAACATGGCTGTCATTGTTAATGTTCCCTAGATGATAATTTTTACCAATTTTTTTATGTTTTTGCTTATTATCTTGAATGAATTATAGAAACTTCAAAAAGCAAAATTAATCAAAATTATACAGTCTAAACATCTTTAAACGTGGCAGAAATCATCTGTTCATAGGAGTTATTGCCCCTATTTTACCATTTTTACCAATTTATTGCATTTTTGGCCAAAGGTATAGTAGAAATAAAAACTGTAAACCGCAAGAAGGATTAGCAAGACAAGATTTTCAAATATATCAACATGGCTGAAATTGTCAGTCAATTCCTTACAGGAGTTATTGCCCATAAATGATGACTTGTTTTCCCATTTTTTTTCATTTTTGACAAAACTATAGTAGATAGAGAAAAATGATGAGCAAGACAACATCCATAAATGTGTCAACATTTGCCGAGATTGTCAGTTGACTCCCAATAGGAGTAATTGCACAAACATGATGATAATTACCCTTTTTTACGTGTTGAACAAAACTACAAAATAAAGAGAAACTGTAAACGGTAATAACGATTAGCAAGACAATGCCTACACATTTTGTATTTTGGGCAAAGAAAAAATTAAGATAGAGAGAAACTGAAAACAGATAAAAAGATCAGCAATACTAGATCAAGAAAAAAATTCTTAGTCATGAATTATTTTCTAGTCCTCAAGGTTGAAAATGGACTTTAATCCAGGTGAACAACACAGGTTTGTTAGAGCCTCTAGTTTAATATGATAAGCTATATCAGAACAGGCTACCTACCATTTGATATGATTGGCTTAAATCAGAACAGATAACCTAGCATTATTTAGGGACAGATTTTAGATGTAGAAATTTATTTATTGTATGCTAACAGATATCATCAGATCTATAAATGTTTTTATTGACTGTTAATAGATTACATCATATCTATAAATGTGTTTATTGTATTTTGACAGATAACATCAGATCCACGTATGAAGTTAGAAGCCAGATTAAGGGATGCTGGATTGCATAACACAGATTATGCTCGTCAGATTATGTCTAAAGTTCAACCTCCCCAACCACCGAGGAGAGATATGGAATCAACAGTGTTTAAAAAGACTTGAACATTACATGAAAAAATTTAACTTCAATGTTGGGAAATGAATCAGCAAATTTTTAACAAAAATGTTAGCTGTAAACTTTTTCCTTTCAAGTGACATGCAGTGAATGACTCAAAACAGACACAAACAATGAAGTTGTAAAGGAGCAAACTAAATATGTATTTATATATGTATGCAATTCTTGAAAGATTTTCTGACGTATTGCTTTGATGTTTTGTTGAAATACAATTTTCAAGAAAACATCTTCATGATACTCACATTTAATGATTTATACCTTTTAAATTGTTCTTAGAAAAATTTCATGTGCTTGAATGTCTTGCCATAGAACCATTAATGACTTTTGATTAATGAATTGGTGCAGTGTAGAACATACTTGATTAAGAAGAAACTGTGATCTTGAATAATCATAAATATTTAATTATAGCTAATAAAGATTATTTGGGTGTCTGCCAATTTGAATTGGATTACATATGTTGTTTTCAATGTGAAGTTAGTGTCGAAAACTTACATTGACAATTATTTGATGTAAAAATAAGCTTTTCCGAGAATGAATGGTATACTGTATTCTCATTCGTTCACATTCTTTCGTCCATAAGTTTTGTTACTTATTACTCTGTGCTAGGAAGGATTTAATACTTGATTGCTGTTCTTCATATCGGATGACCCCTTGACCCCTGCCTCAGGTTAAATTATAAAAAACAAGTATAAAAAGCTGGCACTATCGACTGATGCTCTAGAAACTGCACATTTAGTGTGAATGATTGATTGATTAAATGGTTCTTAACGCCACTTTCAGCACTATTGTGCTATTTAGTGGAGGTTAGTTTTTATTGTTGGAGGAAGCAGGAGTGCCAGGAGAGAACCACCTACCTTCAGAGGGAAAACTGACAATCCTAGTCAATTAAGATTGGAAGGGAGCACACACCTGCCAAGTTCTAGATTTGAACTTACAACCTCAGTGTTGACAGGCTAGTAATACAGTAGTTCAACTACTCAGACCACTTGGACACCTAGGCCCCACTTTAAAAGTGAGAGAAATAAAAAATATTTCAAGGGTTCAAAATACAAGTATGCTTGGGTGACAAACATTTACTCATACTGCTAATTTTTCACCTGTACAAATGTGTTACAATTCATAGTGTGATACCATCCCAAAAGTAGCTTTAGAGAGTTTTTTAGCAAATGACCTTGACCTATTGACCCAAATTCAATAGGCTTATTCTCCTTCCCTATATCTTCCATCTGTATAACATTCATTCTAAACAAGGAACGGATACTCAAGTTACCATCTGAAAACCATGTTTTGGACAGAAGGACAGACAGACAGACAGACAGATCCACAGACAAAGCATTTACTATATGATCCTGACATTTTTTTCAATGGCATAATAAGGACAAAGTAGTCCACTTTACTATTTATATAAAGTGTTTGAAGAAACATGATCAGACCAGTATGCTTCAGTGTTCAATAAGTAACCAATAGCAGCTTGCTGTGGGGTATGGGTTTTGCTCATTGTTGAAAGCTGTACAATGACCTATGTCATTTGGTCTCTGGTGGAGATTTGTCTCATTGGCAATCATACGACATCTTATTTTCATAATGGTTTCTAACCACAGATAATAGAACTTTTAACAAACATTTCTACATCCACAGTATTTGGCATGCAAAGTAAACAAAGTCTTTTTGTACTGAATATTTTATTTGATAACTAGATTGATAATTCATGTATACTAGGTATATTGGCACTAACACTTAGTTATCAATTAATTTCTAAGATCAACACCTTTTTTGCATATTGTAACTTAAAAATTATCCTGATATCTAGTTTGTTTTACAGTATGATAACCTTACTGCTTTGATTCAGGATCTAAGTCTCAATGAAAAAAACAAATTATTGAACTATATCCTAAAATGCAAATTTCTAAATTAAAAATTAACTTAATTTACGGTTTAAAAAAAATTGACTGTTAAGATTGGTCTGAAAATTTGTAACAGCTGTTCCGCAAAACAATCTATTATATGTCATGACTAGCTAATCACAATATGCCAGGGTCATAGTTCAAGGAATAAATTATATTGGCAATAGCTTATAAACTGGCAAGCTCTTCTTCCTTCAATAATTCCGGTCAGAATTTCAAATACATGTGTATTTTTAATGACTTACTAATTAATCACAACGCCTTTCTTTCCTAAATAAGTTCTTTATTACAGATATTTTTAAAAATATATCATTCAAACATATTAACATTTATCATAGCACAAATAAAGAGCAGATAATGAGACTTAGTTGTAACACATTCAAGGAGCTATCCAGGATATATTGATAATTCTGTAATGTTTATTATTGAAAAAATCTTTATCTGCAATCTTTCACTGACTTCAAAATTTCACCAAGTACATGTATCTCTGTTATTCACACAGAACACACGAAAGTGACAGAGAGTACACTGCATAATGAATTCAAAGTAATGTTTGAGTTACGTTAAATTTAAGAATCCAGATGTTTGCATAGAACAGGGGTGGATCAAGCCATTTATAAATGGGGGGGGGTTCCTAACCAAGGATAAAAGGGGGGTTCCTAACCGGTTCCAACTATATGTCAACATTCAAATGCATTGATCGTCAAAAAAAAAAGGGGGGGGGGGGTTTCCAAAATCTCTCAAAATATATCTTACTTGAAACCGGATTGTCACCCCTTATATCAAAATTTGCAAGCATGACACTAAGATTTTCCTTTGTAGATATTTGGAATTAGTAAAATTTGTATCACAAACCAATTAGCATTTGCAAAAATTTCTTTCCGAAGCATTTGATACACCAGTATATTACGAGGTAAATAAAGCTTTTGTTTTGTTTTTGTTTTTTAATATTCCTACATTGTTGTACTGTTGTCATGGATTGCATGTGCAGTCATGGAAGTGGCCTTTGTTTGAGAGATAAAACCTGATTTTTATTTTTTTTCTAATTAGTTTTAAATTAGTCTTACATATTTTCTTCAAATCTTCAAACATTTTTTTTGAAAGGAAAAACTAAGAAAATGACCTCATCTTGAAATCTTGTCTTTAAAGATGGTTTGCCAAAAGATACCTTAAGCATTGATGTTGATGTTGGTATCATTAGGGTGAGGCTTTTGTTCATATTTAATTTTGCCAAACATTTGTATAGGCTCACAACTAATATTTCTGCCCTAAAAGTGGTAAAATATCATCTGAAATTATATTAATTTATCAGTAACATAATCAAATTTTCCAATTATTGCAGAATTTTATTATTTTTTTTCATTTTCAGGGGCAAAATAATGGCTCCTATTCAATGCTCCTCCTTTCTCAAGCTAAAAGAATCCTAGTGATCAGGTAGTGTATTAACAATATATCACAGAAGCTTCTAGAACAATGAAAGGATGTTTTAATCATATTTAGCCTTTTTCAAGAATCTGTTGTCTAAAAATAAGCAGACTTTTTTATTATTAGAACAATTCTATCCAATCATATCTAGGCTTACATTTGGAATATTACTGCTCAATCATATGCAGGCTTACATCAGAAAGATTACTATCTACATTCAAGAATACTTTGCATGATTGCTAAGAACACAATATTATCACAGAAATTCTTTAAGTACACTGTATACGAGTTGTACTAATAGACTTATCACAACATAATTCTCTTCTTTGGTCTATTATCTAAAAGCAAATAATATTGTAAATTTTGTGGCCAAATAAATCTCAATAGTAGATAATCATTCCAGTCTGATTCTTTACTACTATTATAAGATGAGAATATCTTTTCAGAGTATAAGATTTCTTTTGTTTTTATCCCTTTTATTTATACACATATTGCTGTAGATATCACTTATCTGCTCGAGATGTTGAGGATTCAAAAAGATAAATCTCCTTACCAAAACCATTGCTTACACAGATGATAAAAATCTACATATAAAGTTTACTTGGCCTTTGCAAATAAATAAATAGAAAGTGATGTAATAAATAATATCTATCTACAAACTCAGTTACATAATTAAAAAAAAACATTTAAAAAATCTCCAGCTAATTCTCAACACTAATTTTCTTAATAAAAATTTTAATTTTACAATGTCATTACTTTTCCATGGTTAAAAGTAACCTAGAAAAAAAACAGTATTTTGAAACATGAAATAATTTTATGACTTTTATCATTTTAACCTGAATAGTCAAACTAGCTACCTGATATCTCAAACAATCATTAGTAAAAAAAAATAAAAAAAACAGCAGTACAATTTGAACCCTGTTCTAAAAACCCTGAAGTTTGATTAATTCCCTAATTCTACATATCAAAGGTATTACAAATAAACATAAATATACAACTGAAAAACTAAAATTGCTAAAATCTTTAGCTATTTTTGTACCCGCCTGTCCCCAAATACATCTGATGGAATTTTGTGCCCAACTTTATGTGAATGTGTTGTGTGTAGTTATGATACATTTAAAAACAAATGGACAACTATTCTAGATATAGCACCTTAAAAGTAACAGATTAAAATGAAGTAAAAATGAAAACGCATACCATTTAAAATATGTAAATAAAATAACATCAACAACATAAAAATATCACTGTACGCTGCAGTTTATTAGGGGAATGTTTGACATAACATTGGATTCTGGTAGGAATGTTTTATTTATGTTTGACAAGCATTTTGTGTCATCACTGAAACGTAGTTTTGTACCAATTTCTTATATTATTCTTAATATATTTAATCTAAATTCTATACAAAATAATTAAACAATTTTGTTTCACAAATTTAAAAAAAACAACAAATAATAACTGACAAAGGTCATGACAAGGTCAGAGGACAAAGGTTATAAGCTGGTGATGACAGAGTGTGTTTATTCCAATACATTTCTTTCTTTAATAAAAATACATTAAATGAGATCAGTACTTTTCCTCCAAAATAAATGTGATTGGATCAGTTAAGGTTATTAGTTAACTCTTGTTAATGCTGTGTAAAGGTATTAGAACGTCACATGACTTTGAACAGCAGTGAGAGTCCTTTTCAGGATGACATTCTTAAACTTACGGAAAATAATGTCTTTTCATGGATAACATTCATAATCTTTGAAAAAAAAATGTCCTTTCCAGGGGAACATTCATAATGTTGTTTTGCTTTGCCACTTGCACGAAAAAAAAATGTATTGAAACAAAACTGAGGTTTAGAAGTTATTATAACACAAACTTAGATATGCATTAAGTGATACTTTATAAACAATCAATTTGTAACAGCATTTTTGCGGTAAATTCTTTTCTTTGAAAAGCACTTGGTCCCATTTCTGGTGTACAATCCATATTAAAACAGTAAACTATATGTACAAAAATTAACAACAACTTCAAGACTTAAAAATTACATAAATCATTTAAGGTGTAATAAAATACACCCATTCTTCTTATTTTCTACAAATAAGTCTACAATACTTCATTTATTCATATACTACATCCATTCTTCATATAAAGATATTCCAAACATTCATTCATTCAGTCTCCATAGCATTCATGAACAGGATTTATTTACAAATAAATTATCATCTAAACATTTTTACATTTCCATTCAATAAAACACTTCTAAAAACTTTTGTATCAGAGACATTTAATACAAGAGAGATTATATTCCTAAATCAGGTGACATCATAGAGCCCTTGAGACTTAATAAGAACACACAACCATGAGATTCAAACTTATAAAAAACCATTTACTGAAAGACTTACTTATTTAAGTTCCTTTAAAGACATTGTTTAATAATTCTCATGAAGAAAGAGAAGACCTTAACATAAGTCTACATTTGGCAAAAACCAAGTAAATGTTTGATAACAAAATTTAGCAAGAATAAGTGTCCTCAGGACACCATGCCATGCTCACATTATCATATTGATATGTTCCGTGAACTACGAAATTCGGGTCAAAATCCTTATTTGACATATATGTTTAAAAGGTTCACATCATAATGAAAGCATGAACTAAATTTCAAAGTGACCACAACTTAATACTAATATAAATTGTCGATAAATTTTTAATTAAAACTTTAACCTTATACTTGACCGACAGACTAATAAATGGCTGCACAGATCAGAAAATATAATGCCCTCTACTATCGTAGGTGTGGCATAAACATATAACCTTTTGTAGGCTATTCATCAAAGAATTTAAATAGAAACAATGTAATTTATGACAGATCATGATTAAAATTTTCTGCTGAGAGATTTCATTCTTTGCTAAAATGTAGATTTTATCCAACTTTTCAAAAAAATGAAACAAAATGTACATTTTGTTATCAAAAATTTATGCCATAAGTTGAGCAAACTTCCCTTATTTAATCTAGGTTATATCATAAATTTGAAATACAATTTGGAATGATAGCTTTTATCATAAACCCTGAGAATATATATATATAAAATCAGTGTCATTTTAAGGCCATACCTAAAATTTGTTTAATACAAGACAATAAACTTTCATCTCTCATTCATACTGCACCAGATAGTTGTATTATTGTGTGCTGAGCATCACAATACATTATATACATTAAACACATCCATAATGATAATACTGCACTTAATGGGAAAGACTTCACATAGTAAAAACACTGTCAAGTAATTCTTATCAATCAATAGTTATACAGTTGAAATTATATATCAAATAAATGTTTAAAGTAGTCTTCTATTTAATGGATTTTATTTCTCAGATATGATATTATCTATGTTTTGCTATGAAGTCTGAAAAGAAACACAGTATGGTCAATTATTTCCCTTGAAAAGCTAACTTCTTACCTTTACCACCACATTGATGTAATGATAAGATTTTTTTTTAAGAGATAAAGTATGCATATTGCTTTAAATGTCTCAGTCAAAAATGAATCACCAAATTATGTTGATATCACATTTTTCATAAGAATCCTGAAATACAGGGTGTGACAAGGGCATAATTTAGTATAATTTTCAATGAAATTTGTACATATTATTTATAGATTATTTGTATAAAAGTTGAGATAATGCAACGCAAAGACAGATAGTTCAAGAGCCATGACATCACATTAAATGTAATAACATTGTTATAGAAAGGACACTTTAAAAGTGATTTGTAAAAGTACATATATTTTGGCTAATTTTTAAATGGCTTTCAGATTGCAAATATATACTGCATGAAAGCATTCATAATAGTAAAAAAATATGTAATGTTAAGACTTTCCACTGACCACACAAATTAGTCAAATGTTAAATCATGATTTTGTAAACCTGCATTTTATTCAGGATAAACATGGCCCTTAACACATGTCATCTCTTCTTTATGAATACAATGTGCTGCTAAATGGTAATTGAAAAATTCTCATTCACTGTTAAGAATTATTTGGGAGTCTTTTTCTTTTAAGCAAAATTATATTTTTGAAAAACTTACCACACCAATTTTTCAAGTTCATTGTTCAAATGGTACTGGGACAAATAAATCTTGAAACTATTTACCAGTACTATAGATGTAATCATATTATAACAAATCAATATTTAATCGATTAATTTTTAAAAAAATGGCATCTTTCTTTGTCTGTTCTATGGTCGGGTTGTTGTCTCTTTGACACATTCCCCATTTCCATTCTCAATTTTATTAGTGTCAATATTCATGTAAGGTTCACTATAGTTGTGATTTTTAATGATTGCATTGAAGATAAGCTGTTTATCCAATATTATTTTAATTAATATTGTATTTACTACAATCCTTGACCAGATGTTTTGATCTGTAAAGTCTTCCCTCATTACAATACAACAATTACTGGTGGGAAATAGTGGAATAAATAAATACACATAAAAAGGACAAACTAAAATGTGAACAATGACAAGGTCAACATGAAGTGTGAACCAGCCAACTGTTGTCTCTGACAGTCAATAGAAATAGTCTTCAAATTTCTTAGCTTGAAATTTCCTTCCTTCCTTTCTAGTCTCGCTAGGGTCTACACTGCGAGCACCAGATTCTGTACTGCGGGAGACTGTTGTTGACTTGACTTGGCGCTGATAACGACGTGAGGTGAACATGGGCAAGCTTCCATTAAATATATCTTTAAGCGGGGGCAGGCGGACCGCCAGTCATCTTGGATTGACGGTCACTTTAGCATTTGCGTAACTAGGCGCAGGTGACTGGGCATATGAGGGAGACGGGGTTGTGCTCAGTGACACAGAACCGTTTTGTGATGTGTGACTGGATGCATGCACTGGTGCCTTGGGAGGCTTTTTAGACACTTTTGGCAGCTGTGAGGATGAAGCACTGAAAATAATAATAAACATATGGTATAAAGACAATATAAAGTGGACAAGGTTTTACAACAGCTTGTAATTGTGAATCAGATGGAACAGTTGTACAACAAAATATATGCTGAAAAAATATATCAAACTTTGACAAATATTCTTTTGATTTTTATTAGGTTTGATTTTAAATAAGGCTATTTTGTTTTGTTTTTAGTTTTTTTGGGAAGGGGGATTGAACCATTTAGAGTATTAAATAAAAAAAATAAATACATCAAATCCAGATGAAGAGTTATTCTATATGCCAAAACAAATAAAAAAAAAATTTAGAATTTTTTCCAAAAAGTATTGTTAAATCAAAGTGTATCAAATCAGCAGTCTTTGTTCAATAATATACAAATAACTGATTTAGTTTTAACAGTAGTATCAAAGCTGCATTGAATATCAAATCATGTTGTTTAATCATAAATCACTAAAATAGTTCAATTAAGACATCATAAAACCTCCTCATCAGTGTCCAATAAATAATCCTCATCATTTGCATCAAATATCAATGGCCAGGATAGAGACCTAAGAACTCCGTACCTGTGTTTTATTGACTTTGGTTCCTTGCTCTCTGTGTGTTTTGACAATGGAGCACTCTGCATTCTAAGATCTCTGTGACTATTAAGACTATTGGGAGAACTCCACTACAAAATCAATAAGAGGTTTCATTATGCAAGAGTTAAGTCTTCACTTAAATATGATGGGGTCTTATCATAAAGTTTAATTCTAAAGCAAATGCATTTACCATATAGCCCTGTATAAATGAAGTCGTTTCCAGAATCATGAATCATACTCTGAAAGTATCATTTGAAGCAGGTTATTTCCTTTACTGGGCCAGTATAAATGTTTTGCGGCAATGAAGCTCAAAGTTGTGTCAACAATTAGCGGTTTTTAATCCCTTTTGATTTAAAGATAATACTTGGTTTATATACATATAGAAATTAATCATGGTCTTTTGCCTTCGGACATACTTGTAATCCAACTCGATTATAAAGCTGGTTATTTTTGTGAATTAAAATAAAACTGTTTTTTGTTTTTTTTTACTTCTAACTGTTGCTCTGCAATGCAGGGAACCAGTATTTATGACAGTATACTTCCCAACAAGGAAAATAATTTGTATCTAATTGTAATTTTTAAATCAGATTCAGGCTTTTGGATGTGAATTTCAAGAAAATAAGATAAAAATCATAATCATTTCACCATTAATTCATTGTGTATATAAAATGCAGGAAACTAAACTAGAGGTTCCATGGAGCATGAATTGCCATAGAAACTAAGTGATGGAATAATCTTTAATTAAAATAAGTTTTTGAGTTTGGTATAAATCTTCAGTGTATATAGAATAAATAGCAGAAAGCTTTATACAGTCATTAGATCACCTGCCATTCTGTATTAAGCTTTCTGCTATTTATTCTATATACACTGAAGATTTATACCAAACTCAAAAACTTATTTTAATTAAAGAACCTTAGTGAGCGCCCTCACATACCCCACGTCCCCACATTGTCATTGGAGAAATAAAATAAGTGTAAGAAAACAAATTGTATCAGAAAAAAAATTTAATCATAATTCCCTGTCAATATGCACATCTACATAGTATGTTCTTATTATCTACACAGTTTCATGAAATTCTGTAGTGTGGTTTGAGAGGAGTTGCGATGACAAAAGGTTGCAGTAGTATATTGGGCAAATAAGTTCAAAGGGGCATAACTCCTGGAAAAAAAATTGAATCGTAATTTCCTGTCGATATGCACATCTACATAGTATGTCCTTATTATCTGAAAAGGTTTCATGAAATTCTGTTGTGTGGTTTGAGAGGAGTTGCGATGACAAAAGGTTGCAGTAGTATATTGGGCAAATAAGTTCAAAGGGGCGTAACTCCTGGAAAAAATATTGAATCGTAATTTCCTGTCGATATGCACATCTACGTTGTATGTCCTTATTATCTGAAAAGGTTTCATGAAACTTTGTTGTGTGGTTTGAGAGGAGTTGCGATGACAAAAGGTTGCAGTAGTACATAAAGTAAATAAGTTCAAAGGGGCGTAACTCCTAGAAAAAAAATTGAATCGTAATTTCCTGTCGATATGCACAACTACATAGTATGTCCTTATTATCTAAAAAGGTTTCGTGAAATTCTGTTGTGTGGTTTGAGAGGAGTTGCGATGACAAGAAATAGGACTGACGGACTGACGGACGAACGGACAGACGGGTCAAAAACATTATACCCTCCGTAACTCGTTGCATGGGGTATAATAAATAATGTATAACTGCCTATATTTACCTGATGATGAGGACTAGATGATGGGTTTTCTAAATGAACTCCTTCTTCACAAAATGCTTCCAGAAGAAGAATACCTGAAACAATTATTGACAATATTTCAGGTGAAATCATAAGTTTTAAAAGGCGACTGTTCTAACAGGTTTCATTGTATCACATCTACATCAATGAAAATTATATCAAACATCACTGTATGAATGAGATTAATTCTTGTTTTCTTGTTTCTTCACATTTATATACAAGATACTTTATAATTTACTCATGACAATATTTAGGTAAGAACTGATTTTAAATTGTGAGTCTGAAAAACAAAATAAATAGACACACATAAGTTTAATTCTTTGGATATGCTACATGACAATGTATTCTTTTACAACAGCCTGATGACATGTTTTTTATTCACTTTGGTCTTGGTGTCACATTGCCAATCTTACCACATCTCCTCATTTTTATATTGATTTTTTGTCTGATCGTGTAATGTAACTTGGCCATAATAATACCTTTCTGTTCCATTCTGTTAAATCTCTGCACCCACTGATCCAACAGTAAGTTATAATACCTGGTTGATTCAAAAAATCGTAGGTATTTGTGTGTACTTGGTGTGGGGAATACCCTCTGGAAACCCCCTTTCCGACTGTCTTCGTCTATACTCTCGATCAACACTCTCATGTCATCTGGTGTTAAAACATCTAACATTGTCTGTAGAGTTTGCTGTAATGAAAATAAATTTCCTCAGTGTTATCTTTTCTTGTTTATAACTTTTTTTCTATCCTCAATGAGGCCATGGATTTGATTTTCAGATATGGAATAAATAGTATATTACTATTTCAGTCTGTCAAACACAATTCAACATTGAACATAAAAATATTTTTTTGACCGCCTACCATAGTAGAGGGGCACTATGTTTCAGTTCTGTATGTGGGTTTAAGTTTTGGTAAGATAGATTAAAGTTTTGAATTAAGGTAGATTAAAGTTTTGAATTAAGGTAGATTAAAGTTTTGAATTAAGGTAGATTAAAGTTTTGATATAAGGTAGTTTGTGGTCACATCAACTTGAAACTTGTTAATTATGAAGTGAACTGTTTTAAAGCCAAATTAGGGTTTCAACTCAGACTTCCTAGTTCTCTGTGCATGGAAGTGTGATAGTGTGGAGGAGGCATGGTGTCCTATGGTCACATATTCTTATTTAACCACAAAAATAAATAAATATCAAATTGTAGGTAACTTACGTCATCTTGGTGTCTTTGGCAGTAAAAGGCATGCTTGGCTCTCTCATCTGGTGCCATCTGTTGGGTAAACAGTCGTTTGTCCATACAGTAATCATTTGGTGGATGGTATGAACTGTGGAAATTTGAAATAAAATAAATGACTTGTTTAACTCTAACATAGTATATAATGAAAGAACCTTAAAGGAAATGCTTGAATACCCCAGACCAATGGAAAGAAAGTCAACCTCATCCCAAAAATTGTTCCCCATTTGGAATACTTAAATTAATTCAAAGGTTTCACTCCTTAAATAAAAGTGTAAATCTTATTTAGAATATTAAGGGTCAGGCAAAAAATGAGTGGTTACCCACATGACTTGAATAATTATGAGATGTTTGTACCACCTCCCAAATTGTATCCTAGGTTTTAATTAAGTTAAAATGAAATCAATTCTAAAGTGGATCCAATAGAAATGAAGTTACCTCAGTCTCTGGAATATAAAGAGCTATTTTTTCATCAGTGATGGCACCTGTGCCTTATAAAAGGATGTGTTTTGAGTTTGTATTTTTCTGAGTTTCAGGGCAAATGTTGGTGGAGATCATCACAAACATGTTATCCAGCCCAGACACATTATTCTAACTCCAAGTCGACAAGTCTTTGACTTTATTCTGAATGCTACGTTCTTAGAGGAATATCAGCAAATCCAATTTTAAAGTCTTTGGTTATAAATACTTTCTATTAAACGAGACCTAATATACAGAAATATATAAAATGAATACCAATTTGAATACTGAACATTCTATTTTCATAGTATGTAATTATCCCATAAAATATAGATGTAAAAAAACCTGTAGTGTACATATCCTAGAGTTGTATGTATACCTGAATTCTGTAGCACTTGTTCCTGGAGCACTACTGTGTGACACATCTGTCTTATCTGGTATTCGGAATCCAGCAATGTTAAATAGATCTCTTATCATGTGTCCTTTGATATTAATGTCAAGCTGAGAATTGGAATGAAGACTGAAATTGACAAAAGCAGAATATCTAATTTTCTTCACTTTCTTTTCTTTTGTATAGCAAGACATTTATTTAATTCATTCTTCTTTTAAGGAGTGTCAATGAGCTTGTGATCCATGTCAGGTCTCAGGTGTGAATTAAAAACACAGGTAAAAAGAGATTAGCGATCATTAGCAAATATTTCCCGGAGGCATTAATATAGTTACCAAGAGGGCCCTCAGGATTATAATACTATACTGGAGTGGCAGTTTTATTACAGGAAGGGGATAACAAAACAAAAACATGTGAAAAAAATGGCGATTAAGAAACCGATCTCAACAAAACAGTTTAATTAATGACTCCAAATGGTAAATTTTTTTGACATCGCAAACGTTTCTTTCGATTTTGAAGACGAAATTAAAACCGGATGTTTTGCGACAAAACTAAAATGAGTAATTCCGGGATTCATTTGTTTATCAAATTGACAGGAAATCACCTGCTTTATAAATTTTATACCTTTAAAAGTGTTTGATTATTACAGATAATAGTTGCACTTGTTTTATTTAGCATAAAATCATAACGATTAAGTGTCTAATTTGTTGAAAAGAGTTTCACGCATGCATATTACATAGTAAAAAAGCATGTGTGTTACTCTTGAAAAATTACTTTTTTCTAGGTAAATTAAAGGAGTAGGTCCTGTAAGGGCAGATTTTGGCCTCAAAATTCAGGTTCATCAGATGAAAGATTTTGGACACTTTTTAAACACTTAAGTGTCTAATTCAGTCGATTCAATTAGTTTATGTGAAAGATTTTAACTGATTTAGTCATTAAAGACGCTCAAATTTAAGCTTAAATATGAAAAATCTATCAAATATGCCATAATATGTCACTATTCAGATGGTTTTTGTCAAAAATGAAAGTGGCTGCATCCTTGTTCATTCTCAACCTTTATATATGTTATTTATTATCATCAAATACAACTTACATTTAAATATTAAGAATGAACACAAATGCGGCCACTTCCATTTCCGACGGAAACCGTCTAAAAATTAACCAAAATGCAAAAATTTCGAAGATTTCAATAATTAAGCATGACTTAATGATGCTAGTACCCAATGCATGTGAATTGTATTGTCAAAAACAGCCAATATTTATGTAACAGAAGTATTCTTCTTTCCAATAAATAGCTAAAAAAATTACATTTTAGCAATGTTGTAAAACTGCTATATTTTGGGGCCAAAAAGGGGTCTTACTGGGTCTACTCTTTTAATTTTTAAATCAGAATCAATGATTGTCTTTGCTGAAAAATAATTAAATAATGAAGGCAGTTGTCATGGAATTATAATTTCTATATAATATTAGTTCTGAGCTTGTGATCCATGTCAGGTCTCAGGTGTGAATTAAAAACACAGGTAATGATATTGTTTTTGTTTGACAATTGATTTTGATAATGTGTTATTATAATGTGATTACTTTTAGTTTTTTTTTTTTCTCTCATGGCTTTATTGAAGGTACCCCCTCCCTTACCTCACAAATCCTTGGGGACACTCAGCTGTTACCATCTGTGTTATGGACATTTATGAAATTTAATCATTGGTTGTTTCAAAAATTTCACTCATCCCCCAAGAATTTCTGGGGATAAACTGTCAAATTTCATACAAATTCATTCTCATAGCCTCCTTATAGGCTTCCTCGTTGTCTCATTATAGGCTTCCTCATAGCCTCATAGGCATGATAGCCTCATAGGCTTCCTGATAGCCTCACGCATTTATTTTGAACCATTGTTCCAATTGGATTGGTGTGATGTCAAGCCAGAGGTCTATACTTTGCTACTTTTCAGTATGCACATAGCTAGGCTCTTTCTTGGTTTAGGCATGGAGCAAAAAATTAAAATTTTCAGCTGAGTAGATTCCCCAAGGGCCAAATTATAAGTGATGTATATATAAAATAAAAGTTTTAATTCAATTATGATTTATGTTTAATTCAAACATGGATACCACTGGCATTGCCACACAATATTTCCCAGGAGTTTATTTACAAGATAGGTTATAACAGGAAAAAATTAGGTTGATAATAATGTTGATGTGAGCACTAAATCCTTAATTTTACATATCATGAGTTCAAATGGTGAGTTCTAAAAGAAATCAGGGGTAATTAAATTATTTAAATTACTATGAACTCATTATGTGTGACTTTGAGGATTTTGTTCACTGACACATTTATTAGCAAAAGTTGAAACATAGGGCAGAAAGTTACATCAGGATGGTTCAATTGTCAGGTCAAAGAAATTTGCAAGAAGGTATCAGGTTGGATGTTTACTCAGGTGTTAACACACATTTCCCTATTACATAACAGACTAACACTTACCAAAGAAAAGATACAGTATAAACAACAGACAATTAAAATAAGATTAGTACAACATCACATCAAACATAAATTAATTTACCCTAAAAATATTTACAAAGAATCAGAACACAATGCAAACATGGAACAAATGACATTTAAACATATTCAGGACCTTTTCTGAGAATTTTGTATAAACCAAGGTTAATATACTTTTCCTCTTAAGATTTATAACCAATATCAAAAGTAATTCTTTGTTTTATAAGCTGTAATAACAATGATCTCATTGATTCTGATGTGGGCCAAGCATTGGAATATTACATTAACTCATGTAATCTTTCCCAAAGTAGACATTACATTTCATCAAAGAAATAAAGACCTCAGACAACTAAAGAGTTTGAGCTGTAATAAAATAAATTCTTAAAATTATGAAACACAAAATTTATAATATTACCTGGGTGAAATATTCACTTCTAAAATCCATGGTTTCAAACTTTCGTCCAACATAATATCAAATCCAAATAGTTCATGACAGCAGTATCGACTCTTACTGTTAGACTTAATTAAACTGTTGATAGGAGATTCAGCACTGAAAACAGATACAACATACAAAAAGAGTTCAATAAAAAAAATAAAAAATTCAATGTCAATGAATGTTATATTGTGTTAATTATCAACTACATAAATGTTTATACTTTCCCTCATGTACTTAAAATGTATATTCCCAAATCAGTAAGATATATTGTGATAACAGCTACTTCTCAACAAGTCATCAATCTTAACTTTAAAACTAATATTGTTATGAGTTGTACTGGTTTGCTGCAGCATTACATAGCCATAGTGAGTACTAAATGATAAAAGATATGTTCCCTTGATATTCAATCATCCTAGCTGTATACACAAATCAAAATAAGTTTGTTAAAACAAAACCTAGTAGTATAGATACAAATCAAATATTCTGTGAAAACTGACATGGAATATGCCAGAGTTATAAAATCTGTTCATTATAAACTTTTTATTGCGGAAAAACCATGCTGTTAGGGAAATATATCATATACAGTTATAACATTAAAGTTAATTTGAAAAATCACTGCTATTAAATTCACAGAAAACAAAATGTTACTGGATAACAAAGCATTATACAGTATATTTGAAAACTAAATAAAAACAGAGTTCCGATGTTCCCCGCGTGCACATATTTTATCTATCCAAGGTACAAGGGCAATAATTAAAAATAACACTTTTTTGTTCTTTAAAACTTTTTATAAATATCTTTAATAGATAAATGAAAGCTTCTGACAGCAATTGAAATGTGATTTCCGTTAAAATTAATATTTCCAAGGGGCATAACTCGTTAAAAATATTTGATCAGCACTTTTTTCAAAAGTGTCAAAGACATTGCTGATATAAACATTTGATATAAATTTCATAAAAATCTGGCAAGAATTGTATACATGAGAGCACTAACAAGGCCATTTCTGTTATAATTAATATTTCCAAGGAGCATAACTCTTTTAAAATAGTTGATTTGCACTGATTTTCAAACTCGTCCAAGACCTTGATGATATAAACTTTTAATATAAATTTCATAAAAATCGGGTAAGAATTGTACATGTGAGAGCGCTAATAAGGCCATTTTCCATAAATTTAATATTTCCAAGGGCATAACTCTTTTAAAAAAAGTCTATTGGCCACCATTAAAGGGCTTGTCCGAGTTATTGCTAATATTAACCTATAGTATAAGTTTTATAAAAATCTGGCAAGAATTGTATTCGTGAGAAAACTAACGAGGCCATTTTCCATAAATTTAATATTTCCAAGGGGCATAACTCTTTAAATAAAAGTTGATCTGCCATCATAATAGAATTTGTCCGAGATATTGCTTATATTAACCATATTATAAGATTTATAAAAATCTGGCGAGAATTGTACCTGTGAGAGCGCTAACAAGACCGGACGGACACCTGATATTTCTTGTCCCAGGAAAAAGCGTGCGAGGGGGACAATAACAAAACACTTAGCCAGCAACCTTTATTTTATACATTGGAAAAGAGGATATGTGATAGATGTGAACAAAGCATAAATCTCATGAAATACTATGAAAAAACGGTATATCAAAGGTCATGACTTTTATTCTCCATCATGATAATTGATGCACATTACCATAAACTTGATTAACAGTAAACAGAAATGTTAAATACATACCATATAATAGTTTTCACTACTAAATCTTTTATACTATCCCATATGGCATTTGTGTTGATCCCTTGTCGTTTCATGTAATTCCACAAAGCTTTCAATCCCCTGAAATATCAAATTTGTATATTTAACTAATTGAAAAAATATATATTTTCCATCTGAATTAAGGGTTATTATATTATTTGAATATAAAATTCAACTATTGACAGTAAAAAAAAAACAACAGGAGAATTTGTCTCTCCTATGTGTATTTTCCGTCTTTCAAGTGAAATGTCTTTTGATCTGATTGAATAGCAACGAAGCTACCACTTACAAGAACAAATTAAAATTGGCCTTCAAGCACAGCATATGAAACTACACGTTGATTTTGTTTCCCATGCCTTAAAAGTCCTCAGGGAGAATTATGTTTATGGAATTTTTGTTGTTGCTTTTTTTGTGATCCTCTTACAGTGCAAGTCTACTGGTTCAAATGGTTAACAAGAGATCATTGTAATAATGTTTTGCACTTGTTCAGAAATTAAAAAATATCTTTTTATCTCAATTTTTATCAATTTTATACATATTTTTTACCTTTAGTTTCTTATAAATGTCAGCTCCATGAAACCTACATTCTTTCAGTTGAGTAGGCATCAACATTCAATAAATTGTACTTAGGAATATTCTTCACTGGGTGAAACCAGTTTTTTTTTTTTTTTAAGCTTCCACCCCCTCCCCCCCTTTTCTGTCTTCCCTGAATAGTATACATGTTTAAATACACTAAAAATATGAAAATAAGATCTATTTGAATATACCATTTATGTCCCTGACACACTCCTTCATCCCCATTAGCCTGGTAATCTGCATTTTTCTTATTCACACTGTAGTTTGTTAAATGCATGAACTTGTTGTTCAAATTCTTCATGGAAGATGAGTACCTAAAATAAGATATGACTTAAACTAATTTTTTTTTTTTAAATAACTTCTATGGCAAGTATGCCTGAGTACTAGTGTCAGGCTGTACTACAATTCCACAATCATTCCAATGAAAACCTACATCAAATAAATCAATACACTTAAACTTAAATATAGCATGTTGACTTTTCATGTTTTCCTTTACTTTTAACTTTAATTGATTTTTATTTGTGGCAGTTCTTTTAAGGTTTTGCCAAGTTTTTGTTAAGAAATTGTGTTCACTGTCAATTATGAATTAACACTTCATATTTCTTGTTTTCCAATACAATACAAATTATTATAATTAAATTTCCTTCATAAGTGCATGTGTGCTTGAATCATAAAATATAAGCAGATTTGGACCTTCTTTCTATTTGTTGTCAAGAAAATCAATGAGGGATAACTAATAAAACAATTCTGTTAACAACTTTAGAGTAATCCTTAAAGTAATGCTGGGTCTAAGAAACATACTTACTTGCAAGAAGCAAACCTAGCAAGACCATCTTCAAACACATAGATCCTAAGTGGATCATAACTGCTGACGTAAACATACACTCTCATGTCAAATTTACTATCGTTGATGAGGTAGGGTCGGCTTAAATACCTGAAATAATAATTACAGGTAATTTTGGAAAGTTGATTAAATAACTAAAAACATTAAATTTGCATAAAAACTCATGTTATTTGGAAAAGGGAAAAGGGATTAATGATGTTTCTAACAAAAAGGGAAATTTATGTCAAATCGAAAACTAATATCCATCATAGTATTATAATACAATGAGAGATCATGTAGACCAAGTAAGAACTAGGCATATTAACTAGGTCAGCAATTTTCAACTTGAAATTAGCTTCTTTTTTTTATTGCATACATATCTAGAAAAAAAAACGTTATTGAATGAATATCCAATGATCATACATATTTTCAACCCAAAACAATGCTCTGGTATGTGTTTTAAAAATAATTGTAACCCACAAGGGAGTAGGTGGTGAATGCTGTAGTCTTGTTGTCTTTGTTGTGCTTTGGCTTTTTATTTCTGTTGTAAGTTTTTCAGATGTTTTCTGTTCATGTTTTAAGTTATGTGTCATTCAAACAATAATTACAAAATTTTGTAGAGTTCCAGGTATTTGATTGGAAAAATGTATATATATATATATATTTTCAAATGTTAAGAGTATAACCAATGGACCATAGAAATTAGGTCAAACATCAGATCAACCCTGTCAGACACATAAGTAAATTTCCTTAAACTAAAAAGTCCAACCATAACACACTATCCCAACACAAAACAGCAGATGTTATGTTTCATTCTGATGTTGAATTTGTAAAACTACAACACATGCTCTCAATAGCACTATAGTTTACTTACTTCTGTACAATCACAGATTTCTTCCTTGGAATTTGGTTCCATTTGTGTATAACTTTAATTCCTATCCCTCTGGCAGAGGCAGGCTGTAACAAAACAATGTTTTTTCAGTTTGTAATTCCATTTCTTTGTATTTAATTATTATTTGTCATATTATCTGACATGTATACCCATGTCAGCCATGTGACTTACACCAATTTGTCATATTATCTGACATGTATACCCATGTCAGCCATGTGACTTACACCAATTTGTCATATTATCTGACATGTATACCCATGTCAGGCATGTGACTTACACCTATTTGTCATATTATCTGACATGTATACCCATGTCAGCCATGTGACTTACACCAATGGTAAACATACATCAACATTTTCTTCAGAGATAAGATAATTCAATTTTGATTTGACATTAGTAAAACTACAAAATAAGCTCTAAAGAGCTATTGACAGAACTCTGAGTTACTTTCTTTTAAGGATGTAGTTAGGTGAGGTCAAGGAATATTTGTCAGATGTTTGGACTCCTTGGTTTTTTTCCTATGATACAGGGTAAAATATTTTGCCCCATATCACCCACTTTTCTTTTCATAGAAGACTTCAATAGCTCATAAAAAGGTCATTACCAAAATTTAGGCAGATTCTAAGATTTTTTTCATACGATTGGACCCAAATAATCCAAATGCTAAATATAAGGTAAAAGTCCAAGTCAGCCTTTTCCCGCCATTTATAATAAATCAAATATCTCAAAAAGGAGTTCCATAACCTATCAATATTTTTAGCTTATTTTGTTCCTTAACTAATGCTCTTCTGACTTATAGTATCAATTTTAAATTCTAGATTTTTTTAATTTCACCTAAGTACATCCTTAATATTCCCTATCAAATTAAGTCCAGTTAAAGAAGATAATTCTCCCATAGGGTTTAAATGTGTAATATGTAAATAGTTTATTCAGCAAAAGTAATGTCACACATGACCTTATGTTCAGTTCAATTTTCTAGAGTTATACAAGTTACATTCAACAAAATGTAAAAAAAAAAAAAAAAAAAACCCACCTTTAGTTTTAAGTATAATTTAATACTTGTAAAATAAGTTCCTTAACCATTTTTTTTTTATTGTTACCATAAACTTGTCACAAAATATGTCTAAGGCCATTGAAACCTATAAAGGTCATTAAACTCTAAAACAATACCAAATCATATATATAAAAGTGATTGCATGAACAATGAATTCACATTCTACTTCACCGATTTAGATCTTATAAAGAATGTAATGAAATGAGTTAAAGGCAATATTACACATATAGTTTTATACATGTAGCAACGAATTAATATACAAATAGAAGTTGACCTGTTAAACTTACAGGCTTTATAATCCATTTCTGTTTGTTTCCTCCATCTTCCCATGCACGTTTCAGTAATTTGTTATCATAAGGCAAACAATAAGTTTGGGGGAAAAAACCAAACTCTTTCTTTCCAAAATGCAACTGCATTTTCGATAGATTCCTCCATAGTTTGTCTTTACGACCAATTTGGAATGTTCCTGGAAAATGGTTAAGCTTCTGCCATTCTTTCAGTCCTTTAAATCCCTGAGATTTCATGTGTTTTCCCCAACACCCTAGCCAGTCATGATTACCTAAAACAAAACCTCTATACTGTAAGTTCAGAGATTCATAAATCAACAATTTATACAACACTTTAATGCTATAGATTTATAAATAGTGAATTTTCTATTGTTATATTTTACAGAAACATTTCATTACAAAACAGATTAATGAAGTTCATACCTGCCAACTTTTAAAAATCTCCATGGGGGATTTTAAGAGCAAGAGGACCTTATGCTCCTCTTATATTGTCATAAGTGTTTTAATCTACTACTATATTGTTTGTAAAAATGAGTATATAAGTGCTTAAATACCTTTTTAACTCTATAGAATGACTGTTTTGAGGTGTTCACTTTATAAAATAAAGAATTTCAAAATTTAGGTCATCACCTCTCCCATATGGATATCTCCCATTATTTTAATCAAGATAGTTGGTAGGTCTGGAAGTTTGTCAGAACACAACTTCTGGAATGAGTACACATCATTGCTAAACATGATTCAGTAACTTCCCCATACTGCTGTCAGACTAAGCTGTATGTTTTAGACATGAAGAAAGTTCTACTCAGACCGTATTAAGTGGTTTATATTCAATACTAATTCCACAATGTTTATATTGCTGACTAGTTTTGAATTGAATCTTGACAATTTTAATACAGTATTATATCAAACACACCAAAAATACTTGCTGCAATATATTTGATAAAGAACTTACGTTTAGTAATTCTAAAACCAATTCTAGCTAGACTGTGTTTAACTATATTAGGTGTAATGGGACTCATTCTCCATTTCATAAGTCTACGATATTCCCATGGTAGTTGTTCAACTGAAAAAGAAACAAGAATGTGTCCATAGTACACGGATGCCCCACTCGCACTGTCATTTTCTATGTTCAGTGGACCATGAAATTGGGGTCAAAACTCTAATTTGGCATTAAAATTAGAAAGATCATATCATAGGAAACATGTGTACTAAGTTTCAAGTTTATTGGACTTCAACTTCATCAAAAACTACCTTGATCAAAAACTTTAACCTGAAGCAGGACAGACAGACAGACGGACAAACAGACGCACAGACTGAAAAACATAATGCCCCTAGGTGGGGCATAAAAAACTTCTTTATTTTCTTACAATAGATTTCTTAAACAAAATACACACCACACCAAGTAATTAACTTTAATATATATAAACTCATCATGGATACATAATTTTGTACGCCAGACGCACATTTAGTCTACAATTAGACTCATTAGTGACACTAGAATCAAAAAAGGAAACGTGGGGTATATATCAATTAGACAGCCACTCAACATACAGTTTACTACAATAGATAGTTTTCTATACAATATATCAAGCTCTAAATCAGTCTTTATCAAAAATTATGTGAATAATATGCTGCTGTGTGTAAGGACAGTGTTCTACAGAAACTTCCCAAAATCTGCCACTAACACCAAATTTCTCCAATTAAAAAAACACATTAAGTTATTAAACAACCACTGACAAGGCAAGTGATTATGTGGCAGGGTTAGAGTAGTTTTTCTTTTTACATGTAGCTACTTTATCAACATTGAAATTCTAACTTATGGACCTTCATAAATTTGGATACAATGAATAGTTCTATTAGTAAACTAAATTTGCTTTATTACCTTTTTCCCCTTCCACAACAAAATTAATAGTTGGTGGCACACTAGGAAACAAACTTTTAGTCAGAGGTTGCTTTATCACAGTTTTGACAACAGCTGTTTGTGGACGGGTGGTGGACACTGGTCGGACGGACACTTCATCTGCACTGGTAGAACTGAGAGATCTGATTGTTCCTATTTGTCTTGCTGACTTTGACCTTGACAATCCTGATGATGACCTTCTAGATAAACTACTTGTAATTGAGTAACCATCAGATTCACCTAAGGATATAAAGTATTTCTGTGATTATCACAAGATAAATATAATGCGAGACTTTTGAATCTAAACTAGGATCTTATTTGTTATGTAGACCAATGTATTTATCATAGAATCTAACGGTTTATTGGAGATTTCACCATGAGAAGTCAATAGACCACAACATTTGTAGACAAATATGTAGCACTTTAATTGTAAAATTTCCAAAGAGATAGGGGTTAATAGAATGCTAAATAAACTTCAAGATTTTCATTACAGAGGAACTCAGAGATCAAGATAGGGGACAAGAAGTTACAATTTGATCAAAGTGATGGAGAAAACCAATTATAATGCCTAGATGTTTAAAGTTAGAGGGTCCTTATTCTTACAATTCTAGAAATACCTGAATGCAGAGTTTAAATTATAACAGGAGTAAAAATTGATTCCAACCTTAAAATACATATAATTACTATTAAGTCAGTTTCAATGAAGTAATCTTTTTTTATTTCTTATGAAAGATGGAACTCATATTTTCATTTTATCATGTTTATTCATTACTTTTTTATATTCATTATCAGCTAGGTCAAAAAAAAAATGTTTGTTTCTATAACAGAAATGAATGACGTAGAATGAGGCATGATATGTGACAATTTCATTCGGTTTATGTTGCATTATATCCAAGAATTAATCAAAGATCCGCATCAACTTTCCTATAATTAACTTTAATAGCAAACACTTGTTCCAATCTGATTAGTTCTAGATCAAAATCACTGCAAATAATAAGATCTGTCAAACTGTCATTCAAGTTGTCCTTACAAAACAAAATCAAGAATTTTTATATTATTGCAATACAATTATAATATTCACTTCTTAAAGTACAATGGTGGTGTGTTATTTCAATTAAAAAGATAATTTACTAGAATAAAAACTACAAATTGTAGAGTTCATTATTTTCTATAGGACGTTTCCCTAAACATTGATACTAAACATTTGAACTATTCTATTCTATTAGGCAGGGATTGAAGTTAAAATTTTGGCATGGTAGCCCACAGCTTAAATTTAGTTAGCCAAAATATATAGTTCTATACAAGAAAAGCAGAAATTTTAGTAGCCCACACCAAATTTAAGGGGCCATTGGCGAGTGGGCCCCTGCTAATTTCAAACCCTGCTATTAGGTCTGTAAGAATTTCTACTACAGGCCAATGGAATCCATAAAAAATAAATGTGGATAGTGTCCACATGTGGACACAGATGATGCCCCCGCTTGCATATCATATAGTTATAAAGGGACATAACTGAAGAACGGTAAAAGTGACGCTACCCAAATTTGAACATCTGAGTTTTGTGGTAATAAGCATTGTGTGTAAGTCTCATAACATTTGGTTGAGGCTAACTTAAGTAGAGAACAGAAACTAAAAATTTAGCAATTTTTCTATTTGTAAACACGCATAACTCTAGAACGGTTGTGTATAAGTTTTATAACATTTGGTTGAGACAAACTAAAAAATTCAGCAATTTTTATGTTTATAAAGGGACACAACACAAGAATGGTAAAAGTGTTGCCACCAAATTTCGTACTTAAACTGTATTATGTAGTAATAAGCATTGTGTATAAGTTTCATAACATTTGGTTGAGGTAAACTAAAATTAGAAAACGGAAACAAAAAATTTGTACTTGATCATAGTTTTGTGGTAATGAATATTGTGTATAGGTTTCATAATGTTTGGTTGGGGCAAACTTAAGTTACAGAATGGAAACCAAAAATTTTGCAATCTTTCGATTTATAAAGGGGCATAACTCAATAATGGTTAAAGTGACACTACCCAAATTCAACTTGATCTGTGTTTTATCAGTGGAAGTCAAAATTAAACTGCATTGTATAAAGCATTGATTGTAGTTGATTCAACTATAATCAGGGACAAAGGAAGATAACTCCAATTTTAAGAATTACTTGATATTTAGAAGAAAATAAAAAGTTTTTCATGAAAATTGGTATACAAAGCATGGGCAATCAAGTCCTACCCTATTCAGTTTGTATTGTTTGACTACATTCATGTAATGATAGTCTAAATGTCTTTCGGTAAATTTATGATGTTCGATTGATGTCTCATTGTCATATATAGTTCATTTTTAGAGTGTTGAGAGAAAAAATGGAAATAAGCAAGAATACAGTACTATTAAAAAATTAGATATGCAGTATGTTAACCCTTTCAACGCTACACAAAAGAATAGAAAAATGGCTGCTGCTGCTGCATTTTTATTTTTGTGTTCATTCATTAGAACAGTATATTCCTTTTCAGACTAATGTATCTTCTTTATTATTAGAGATACAGACAAAGTTAGAGCATGAAAAATGCTCAGGAAGGCATGAACTGTAATGTTAGGCAATTATTTTAGTAAAATTTTCATCAAGCTACCTGCATTTTCAGGTAGTTAACAGGTAAAAGGTGTAAATTATTGTATTTGTGTTGAATTTTGAAAAAAAAAACCTTTTAATCTTCATTTATTTTGTTGTTTTATCAGTCATATAATAAAGAAGACACCAGTTGCTCCATTCCGTAGCGTATTTGCACCATACACAACGTATAATGTACACGTGGCGCAAATAAGTGGCTCTGTCCTAAAAATTTTCAGTCAACCTCCGTTTCCCCCCCTTTTTCTACGTCTCGTAAAGATCGACCAAATCATAATTTCCCACACGAATTGAATGTAATTAACACATTGAGATAAGGCTAAAAAAAAATATATGTCTGTTTACGGTTACCCGACCGACCCTAAGTCATTTTTTTTCCGTCGTAAAGTGAAAAATAAACTGAACTTATGTCAAAAGTGAAGTTAGTGTTGCCAAATAATATAAATCAATTGCCTGATACATCCCAATGTTCACAATCTTGAATGTGATAGCTGTTTTAAGGAAATTTGCGACTCGTGTAATGAAATAAACACTTTGCCGCCATTTTTTTCCAACCAATAACCAAGGGAAATAATCCAATCATTAAAAATGCCGGTAAACTCGGCCCATGATCAACCTGGACCACAACAAGACGAAACGGCATGACTCAAAATCATTTCACAAAAAACAAGAGTGCACACGCTGAAATGTCTCGCCTTCTTTACTAATCATTGATATTATGTTGATAGTCCTAAATATAAAGCTTTATTACAACTGTCACATAAATTTAACATTAACCAAGAAAACTAAACATTGACCAATGAACCATGAAAATGAGGTCAAGGTCAGATGAACTGTGCCAGGCAGACATGTACAGTTAACAATTCTTCCATATAACAAATATAGTTGACCTATTGCTTATAGTTTAAGAAAAACATACCAAAACACAAAAACTTAACACTGAGCAATGAACTCAGAAAATGAGGTCAAGGTCAAATAAAACCTGCCAGACTGAAATGTACATTGTAAAATATTTCCATACACCAAATATAGTTGACCTATTGCATTTAGTATTAGAAAACTAGAGGCTCTCATGAGCCTGTGTCGCTCCCCTGTATTTACCGATGCTTTGGAAATCATGTAAAATAAGGTTAAAATCATAATTAATAGTATTAGATATTAGATATTATAATGATATCTAAGATAATAACAAAAGACTGCAAAATTTCTGTAAAATTACTAACTCAGGGGCAGCAACCTAACAACTGGTTGTCGGATTCATCTGAAAATTTCAGGGCAGATAAATCTAAATCTGATGAACATTTTTGCCACCTGTCAGATTTGCTCTAGCTTTAGTTTCAGAGATATAAACCAAAAACTGTATTTTACCCCTATGTTCTATTTTTAACCATGTCGGCCATGATGATTGGAAGGCGGGGTCATCGGACAAATTTTTAAACTAGATACCCTAATAATGATCATGGCCAAGTATGGTTAAATTTTCTCAGTAGTTTCAAAGAAGATTTTTGTAAAAGATTACAAAAATTTACGAAAAATTGTTAAAAATTGACTATAAATGGCAATAACTCCTAAAGGGGTCGACTGACAATTTTGGTCATGCGACTTATTTGTAGATCTTACTTTGCTGAACATTATTGCAGTTTACAGTTTATCTCTATCTATAATAATATTCAAAATAATAACCAAATCTGCAAAATTTCCTTAAAATTACCAATTCAGGGGCAACAACCCAACAACGGGTTGTCAGATTTGTCTGAAAATTTCAGGGCAGATAGATCTTGACCTGATAATCAGTTTTACCATACGTCAGATTTACTCTAAATGCTTTGGTTTCAGAGATATAAGCCAAAATCTCCATTTTACCCCTATGTTCTATTTTTAGCCATGGCTTTGCAAGGTACACACATATTAAATATAGTTATCCTATTACTCATAATAAGAGAGAAATTAACATTACAAAAAATATTAACTTTTTTTTTCAAGTAGTCACTGAACCATGAAAATGAGGTCAAGGACAATGGACATATGACAGACGGAAACTTCATAACATAAGGCATCTATACAGAGTTCGCGAAAATGGTCGGTCCTGTCGGTCAAAATGAGGCTCGGACCAGTATTTTGAAGTCTAGTGCCGGTCCCGATGACCGATGTAAAAACGGCCGTTGTAGTGCATATTTCGGCACTTTTTTACATCGGTTATTAGAAGTACCGCAACTGTTTCCAATAAGTGTTTACATTGGTTATCAGATGTACCCGCTGCCAATATCCGGTACTGGTTTACGGATTTATTATAAACAAACCAAAGCGGCGATCTACACGTGGCCTACTAAATTTGTTCATAGAGCTATCCCTGGCAAACAATCGGCGATTGAACCCTACAATGGAGCAAACAAATACTGTAACAGCCGAGAAAGTGATTCAGATGATGAAATGGATAGTGAAGATGACTTTAAATAAGAACAATCAGAAGACCTGAACTGGTCCTTCATTGTTAATTTGCCTGTGGGTGCGAAGAATAAAACTAATATTAATAAAGTTATTTTTCGATAAAATATGTTATTAATTTTATTTCAGGATAAAATTGACAGATTTTGTAGGACTGGCAAAAATTTTGTAGGACTGACAAATAATCATGCTTTGTCGGTCCTATGACCGACGGGTCAAAATAAGTTTTCGCGAACTCTGTCTATATACAAAGTATGAAGCATCCAGGTCTTCCACCTTGGAAAATATAAAGCTTTTAAGAAGTTAGCTAACGCCACCGCTGGATCACTATCCCTATGTCGAGCTTTCTGCGACAAAAACTGCAGAAAAACTTCATATGTTAGAAACATTGTTTAGGTACATTAAGATAAACTGACATAACCACAAGCCTTGAAAGCCATTGTAAAATGGACAATGAATGAGGAGGTGAGGCAAAATAATCTGCCTGGAAATGAGATGTCATGATGGGCAGCAAAGAGAATTTATGTTCTTATCATGGATAGATAAACCCCTGGTTGGACACTTGTAAACTGTAAGAGCAAGTTTATACCCTCCTCCTATTTTTTTAAGTGGTTTTTGACTTTCCAAAAGCTTAATTTTGCTGGACCTCAGGATAGCTACTACATATTTTAATACCTACTCTGGTACTCAGCTGGAAATTGCAATAAAAAACTAGTTTCAAAAATATTGGAAACTTTTGTAATAACCATTTACATCATATTTGCCATAAAACATTTGAAGGGTTAGATAACCTACCCTCTGATCCTCCTGCAGCGTCATCCTCTAAACAGTCAATAACATCATCGTCGTCATCGTCCAAATCATCACTGGCTTCACCATCACCAGGAAATCTTTCTCTGGAATGAATGAAAAAAATAAAGTTATATTACATAGAAAAGTATTAAATAAAATTGAGAATGGAAACGGGGAATGCATCAAAGAGACATCAACCCTAACAATAACAATAACCTACCTATTCAAACCATATCATTATTATTTGCTTTTATATATAAATCAGATATAACCAATTTAAAATGGAAAATTTTAAAGAAAAAAAAAGGGAAAAAAAATCCCTCCCCCCAAATTTTTTGAACCCCCTTATGATTCATCACCCCAAACTCAATCCCAGCCTTTCCTTTGTGGTATGGTACCTTGCAGTACAATTTCAGAGAGATCCATACACTTGAACACAAGTTATTGTCTGGCAACTAGAAAAATGCTTGTTTTTTGCCCCTTTTTGGCCCCAAATTCCTAAACGTTTAGGGCAATTACCAACAAACTCAAACCCAGCTTTCCCTTTGTGATATGGAACCTTGTGGTACAATTTCATAAAGATCCATACACTTACACACAAATTATTGTCTGAAACTAGAAAAATGCTTGTTTTTTGCCTCTTTTTGGCCCCTGATTCCTAAAATTTTGAGGCAATTAATATTACCCCCAAAATCAATCCCAGCCTTCCCTTTGTGGTATGGTACCTTGCAGTACAATTTCAGAGAGATCCATACACTTGAACACAAGTTATTGTCTGGAAACTAGAAAAATGCTTATTTTTGGCCCCTTTTTGGCACCTTATTCCTATACGTTTTGGGCAATTACCCCCAAACTCAATTCCAGCTTTCCCTTTGTGATATGGAACCTTGTGGTACAATTTCAGAAAGATCCATACACTTACACACAAGTTATTGTCATGAAACTAGAAAAATGCTTGTTTTTTGCCCCTTTTTTGGCCCCTAATTCCTAAAATTTTGAGGCAATTACCCCCAAAATCGATCCCAGCATTCCCTTTGTGATATGGAACCTTGTGGTACAATGTCAGAGAGATCCATACACTAACACACAAGTTATGTCTGGAAGTTACAAAAATGCTTATTTTTGGCCCCTAATTCCTTAACTGTTGGTACCATAACCCCCAAAATCAATCCCAACCTTCCTTTTGTGGTATTGAACCTTTTGGTAAAATTTCATAGAGATCCATTTACTTAAACTAAAGTTAGAGTGCGAAAAACCAATGTGTCTTCGGACGACGACTACAACGACGATGACGCCAACGATATACCAATATACGACTGCAAAATTTTTTTGCGGCCGTATAAAAACCAGAAGATTTAAGAACATAGCCAACAAAAAAACCCCACTGACCTTACCATCCTATTATAAAATGACTCTCATCCTGAGTTAGAGATGGTAGGTCTCTCCTTTCTGCGTGTCTTGTAATTCAAGAAATATCTAGTCTAGATATTTCTTGAATTACAAGATAACTTTTGGTTAGAATGGTAGCAAATTACGGAATTAGCTCCCCTTAATTGTTAATTTCTAGTGCATTTAAACCAAATTATATCAACAGGAAAAGGAAACAAAAGTTATATTCGTGAACCATTATAAGTTCTGAACTTAAATTAATGTAAACTTTAGCAGGTTTTGTTTGTCATTTTTTCACCATTGCCTGATTCTTAAGCAGATTGGCACTAAAGCTCTACATTGTGTCCTGACAAGTTGTGAGTAAACTTTAGACTACAAAAAGCCTTCCATCAACACTAAATTCTGTGGACTTACATTCTGGAATCCAGTGGAATGATGTTAAATTACTGAAATGAAGGTTTAATCAATTAATTTGTTTCTCACTCCTTAATATGCCAGGACACCTACTTACTCGATTTACAAATGCTATCAATAGATCAACTCCAAAATCAATCATGTAATTCTTAAAGTTCATTTAAAAATAATAATTTTGATTTCTATGAAGGTTTTAGCCATTATAAAACATTGTTTATAATTCCCTGTAGTATGATCATTATCACTATATTTTCTGAGATAACAACTATTCAACTAAATTACATAGTGACAATCCTCTTTCCCTAGATACATACTTGTCATTTACATGGTTATTGGAAACTCCTTGTTTTCTCCATAAAAAGACATTAAAATATGGATTATGTTCCACACAAACACGAGAAACATGGATGTAAATAGCAATGCATTGTAAAACATATATGTAGTGTCAACACAAAGCGTTACTACAATTACAAAATGAAACACCTTGATTACTTATATAAAATGTAGATTACATAAGTATACAGAATGAAAATTCTCATGTGTATAAGATCAATGACTACTTACTCTAAAATCAACAACAATTTCATTTGTCTTCAAAGCTCTCTGATCATCATATGATTGACAAAATTCAGATATTGTTCATGAAATTGAGACAAGGATTTCAAGGTTATGTTGCATAAAAATATTGGCATTTATCATTTAAAAAACAATGATCATTTTATTGTTAATCACATGTTAGGATTACAGGAATTTATAATTCTTTGGAAACATGTATCATGCTTTAAATGAACAATGCAATGCATTTAAATAACCCCCAAGATCTTCAATCGATAGACAGGATATTTCATGTCATGGTCATGAAAAAAATTGTGTCGTTGAACATAACAAGCAAGGGAATAAGATACATTTCAAGGACAGATTTTTTGCTTACATTTTAATAGAATAAAATATACTGCCATTTGTCTGATAATTTGTGCTCTAATTGCACATATCTACATCATTTAATCAGATTGTCTGTCAATTTTTAAATTTCCATAATCATATTACAGTAAATGAACTAAATTAAAAAATAGTACATGCTTTTATTGGTCACAGCTATAAGATACTTTGTTAGAAATTGTGGAATTCCTAAAATGAGCAAACCTCATGACATTCAGCTTAAACATATTTATAGTAATAAGTCATGTCTTTATCAGAAGTATTTATACTGATATCAAACATACTTCCACACAAGAACCGTTATAATGGTTTATCTTAATGTTATCTACAGTATGTTAATGATACAGCAACAACAAAAATCAGAATAGCTCTCTGGAAGGCAACATACTATCTATAGAGTTTTCTTTAAAAATTGACATGTTGTTTCTAGACAAATGTTTAATTATTTGTCTTTAAGCAGGTTTATGAATTCTGCTTCATACGAGCATGAAAACCATAGTTTTTCCGATATATATATATATTATCTTCAGTTCAGACAAATTTTAAATAAATCATACTACATGTGACTACCCAGTACAAATCATTTGTCATCAAGACCAAATTACTTCAAAGGAAAAATACACTAAGATTCAAGCAAAAACAACAAATATGATACTCCTGACTTGGATGGACACACTTAAATCTGGCAGGGTTACACAAACTTGTGTTTTAATACTCAACAAACCACTCCCTCTTTATTTTAATCTCAGTCAGCAGAATAGCAAAAGTTTCACAAAAGAAAATACTGGTATTATAGAGTTTTTTAACCAAATTAACAGTATGCTCTTATGTGAACTTTTTTGTAAGTCAGGTTCATGTAAAATATTTCTAAATAATATTACTGGTAAATAGAGAAATTATGACTGATTATACATTAATATTATCAGCTGTACTTCCAAGTAGATTTCTTTTCTTATTTCGATCCCTAAACATTTTAACGTTCTTTAATGGAATCTATATCTTTTTCCATATCACAAAGTTTTGTTGTGTGCAGATACTCCTAATCCACTATATTCCACAAGAACATTAGCAGGGGGTACATGCATACTTTGTCCATGATCAGTAATACTCCACTTTATCATTTGACAGTAGCACAAGGTTGTAATTAGTACTAATTATTCAACCATTTACAGGTTACTATTGTTTATTCTATTAAGTTACCTGACATAAATAAGCTGATAAAGCAGTTAATTTGATAGTACTACTGCAGACATTATCAATGTGCTGATAATTGAAATCAGGGGTTTAAAGCCTCATTTTATGCTTTTTGAATAAATTGTTGAGAAATAAATTTATCAATACTGTTATAGTATACTGAATGAATATATATATGATGAATATTTTGTTATTCACACCTAATAAAAACAGGTAGAAATGGGAACCATATTTCCAACAAATCTTTGTTTAGTTTATTAGTTATTAGTTGAAATAGTGGACAAAGGTAATTAAATCTTATTATATTATTTTAAGTAGCAAGTTTAATCAATACAATACAATCTATAGGGATCAGTGAATACAAACATGTATAAAAACATAACTGTTTAAATCTTATTCTTTATTTCAAACCAATCAATTGTATTAAGGTCTACTTGATTATTAAGAAAATAGTACAAATACATGCTTTGTTATAACATGTGTATGTATATATATGTCATCTTCGGTAGGTCAGTGGGACGTTTTATGAGGAATATCATCACATCCTTGATACATGTTGTGTTTAGACACTGATCATGTCAAGATAAATAGTTATTGTCTTATTATTTTTGGCTAATGAACTGTATAATGCTGAATCATGATGTGCTGGGTAGGCTTATTTCCAGGACAAAAAGAACATGTCATTTTTTAGTTATGTCCTTTGATTTCACCTCCAGCTCATTATGCATCAACTCCTCTCATTTTACAATGTTTGGTATAGTGGCAAAGGCATACAAATATATAACTTAATAATTTATACTGACAATAATTAATAATCAAAGTAACATCTAAATACCTTTATGTTCAGTCATGGTTACATTCAAGATATTTAAATGTATGGCTCTCAGTTTCAAATGTTCCTTTCTTTCTTTGTTGTATTGTAATACATTTTCCTATTTTACATGAAATTGACAATAATCTTTCAATCATGGTTAATATGATTTGGTCCTCTTATTTTATTATCCCTACTTTAAAGTATGATATGAATTCTCAGCTTCATACTGCTTATTCAATATTATGGATATATAAACTAAATAAATTCAACAGAAATAAAGTAATGACAGAAGTGAACAATATTTACTGAGGGGAAAGTAAATCAATCTTCTCTTATGGTTGTGGCCTGTTATCT